GCATTTATTAAGCATAAACATGAGAGGTGCCCTTGAGCATGAGAGTCTTTCAACACATCTATCATAGACCGATGGCATTCACGGCCCTGGTCACTGGCTGTCTTGTAGCCACACTTTCTGCCATGTGACTGTGCAGTGCCTCCCATTAAGAGGTACAATATATTTCCCACTCCCTAAATCTGTCCTGCTCTTGTGACTTGGTTGGCCAACAGTATATGACCTAGTGCTGGTTCTGGCCTACACCTCAAGATTTGTGGGCATCTGCCATCACTTGGATCCCTGGCAGGCTTGGACCAGGCATCTGAAGGCACGTGAGGGACACACAGACAGACTTCACTCACCTGGCCATCCCCGATGAAGCCATTGTAGATTCTAGCGGACCCGTTTGCTAACCACAGGCCCCTGTGTGAGTGCTGTTGTACTTGACTGAGCCCTGTCCACATCGGTGGGAGCACCCAGTCCATGGGTGGACTCATGAAAAAAATCAAAGGTGTGTTGTTTTAGGCTACTGAATTTTGGAGTGGTTTTTAATGCACCAAGAGTTAACTGATATAACCAAAAAGTAATCTTTTTAATTAGCAGTCAGTGAAGCCAAGGCAGTTATTCTTTCACTTTTTAGTCTGTGCTCCAATCTGGGCTGATTGTTCCCTAGATGCACTGGGCATGTCATCTCGGGATCTCATCTTTATCATCACTTTAGAAATTCCTTTTACTTTGTTTTCTGAACTTCATGCCTTTCCCTTTCCCGGTAACTCCCTTGTTTTGCTGGAGTACATTCTTCGGGAGTTGCCTGAGAATGGGTGAGCAAGTTTGGAGACAATGCATGTTTGAAATGCCTTCATTCTACCCTTTTTTTTAGTTTGGTTTAGCTGCATTGCAGTTCTAGCTTGGAAGTATTTCTCTCAGAATTGTGAAGGCACTGTTTCATGGTCTTCAATGTGGCTTTGGAAAGTCTGATTCTATTTTGATTCTTGATCTTCTGTATTATCATTCTTTTCTCTCTAGAGGTTATAGAATAATCTTTGTCTCAATTGTTATGAATTTGTAAAATAATGTGCTTTAATATGAATGTTTTCATCTATTGCGCTAAGCACTCACTTGGTTCTTTCTGCTTAGATATTCATGTTCTCCAGTTCTAGGAAATCGTTTTGACTTATTTCATGGATGATTTCTTTCTCTTCCTTTTCTCTTTCTGCTACTCCTATTATTTGCATGTTAGATTTCCTAGAATGATTCTCCACTTTCCTTACTTTTTCTTCTCTGTGTCCATTGCTTCGTCTTTGCTGTTTTCTGGGATAGATCTTTAACTGTAGTTTCTAAACCTATTATTGAGTTTACTTTTAAATCTGTGCTTTCATGTTTCAGTGTTAAAGATCTCCTTTTTTTCGAGGTGTTCCCTGTTTGTTATCCTAGCATTGTGTTCTTGTTTCATAGATACACCATCTTCTCTTATCTTACCGAAGTCATTAATGTTTTTTATTTTTGAGTTTTCTTCTCTGTGAATCATCTCAGCTTCTCATGTGTAAGAGGGAGCCACAGGAAACCAAAAGTCTTGTGTGGTCCTGGTGAAGTTTGAGATTGATCTTCACTGTAGATTGCTATGCTCAGCATTGCCTTGGGGAGCCATTATGTTAGGAAGTCCATGGTTCTCTCTCAGGCTTATCAGATTGCCCAGAAAGACTGAGCTTCTGCCTGGAGAACTCATGCCTGGTGTTGACATTCTGGGAGCCACATTGGGGGAGAAGGCAAGGCAGTCCCAACATTCCTTATGCCTGGCCTCACTTTTCAGTATGGAATCTCCAGTGTCAACTGTGTGTGCCTTATAGCCTTTCAGCCAGAGACTCTTTATTTTGCCCTCTTCAGAGAATAAATTTCTAGTCATTTGCTGGAATTGGTAAAGAACAATCACAAAGCTACTTAGAGTAGGGGAGGAGATCTGGATTTCTAACTCTGTGTCTTAAATAGACTTTAAACCCCTCCTCTCTACCCCATCCAGATGTGGATGCTGCCAATACCTGAGCCTTTGAGGGGTTCTTTTACACAAGTCTGCTGGCTTCTCAACTTTCCCTATTTCTGGTTAAAATTCAGCTTTTCCAAATGTACAAATTCAGCCAGTCAACAATGAACCGCCACTTCCAACGTCAAATTTAGTTTACTGTTCTTTCTTCTTCCATTCTCTCTGGCCCGGTTAGGTTATGCCTTTTTGGAATACCTCTTACTGTCTTTTGAGTCTTGTATAAGGAAAGGGAGATATGTTCACTTTCCTCTCTTTTCCTGCAGGTCCAGGAATAATTCTTGACTTTAAAGAACTAACACTTCACAATAGCTCATTTAGTTTGAAATGTATGGACCATAACACCTTCTATGGAAAATTGGACTTTCTCCCAAAGAAGACGCACGGGGAGAGACACAAAGTTTTCCTTTTAGAAAAAATAATGTGAGTGTGAAATTTCAGCCACCTCCTACACCTGTAACCTTGTGCTTCTAAATTACCCAGATAGGCAGACAACCAGCTGTTTTCCCCTCCCAGGCTTCCACGCCCCTTAAATCAGAGACTCCTGAGTCCATTTTCTTTAACTTTTCAATAGTAACCTTTTAATATTTTCCAGTAAGCACTTAACTGGGCAATATACACATCGTGCTTTCCTTCTTATTACTGGCCCATCAGTAAATATACAAAAGTCAGAGGAAGGGAGTACTGTGAAAAGTCAAAGTAACAATAGTCATAGCATACATGTGAACAACAGACTATTCTTTGAAAACTCAAAGTGATTTACAAAAGGCATAATGGTGAATAAATTACAGTATTCTTGTTCTGAAGTATATTTTACTCTCCTAGAGAAGTGGGAGATTTCCTTTCTCCTACTCCTACTGTACCAGAGTTGAATGAACATTGACTATGAAATTGATCCTTGGCGTCATGGGCTTGATGTAAAATTTTTTGAGAGGTTTTGTTTGCAAAATCCATTCTGCAAGCTAAAATCTGCAAAATATACATATGAAAATGCCTTTTGTCCTATTGGATTTTTCACCCAGGGCTAATTTAACAGAAGCCCTCAGGACACACAAAAGATTTACCCTTATAGGACAAATTACATTGTAATCTCTGAGCTTTGGAGAGCTTTCATCTTTGCTCTCCTAAGCTTTGCAAAATAATGAAATGCTGGCTCCTTACTAATAACAAACAAGACCCAGTTTAATGACTTAGTCCAGGTCACCTGGGCTGATGGGTAGGAATGATGGTAGGAATGATGTGTAGTCAAGCTGTGCTTCCAGAGTTACATCATTATGTCACATGGGAGACAGTGCATCCTGGTCCATGACCTTTGGGCGATATTGCAGGTGAAGTGCACCTATGAGATGGAAGTTCTAGAGTTCCCCTAGTCCTGTGTTGAGAACACAAAGGCATATCCAAGTGGGGGGCCACAACATAATGAAAGGAAAGATCATATTTAATTCCAAAATAAAGTAGAAAAAGTCTTCTCTCTCCACCTATTTATTGGGAATATCCAGAAGGAGTGAAAAACCATCCCTAGCTATGAGACTTGTATGACTATCTATGGCCCTAAAGAGAATCTGGGGGACAGGTGGAGTCCTAGAGTAGCCCTCCTTAACCCGATCCCACAGTAGGTCGTTGCATTCAGGTTCAAGAGCCAGGAAAGGTCTTGGACAGCAGAAGGCACTTAAACACTAGTGGCAGGAACAACAGAGTGACCACATGTCTATTTTCTTTTCTTGCAACATGAACATAAAAACAAAATCAGACCAGAGAAGGAAAAGGGGTTTTCAAAGACCATGGCAGGAATGGGTTGAGAAGGTTTACTGGAGAGAGAACAGGGTGGAAATGAATGCAGAAAGCAGGCTTTTCACCTTTCAATATCTCCTTCAGAACCAACTCTTCATTAAGTCCAGCCCTAATTTATGTGGGAGCTTTTTCCTTTCCTCCTCCCCTCAGTCCTCTACCTTCTCCTACCCCTTCTCCTCTCCTCCTCCTTTTCCTCTTTTCCCTCCCCCTCTCCTTTCTCCTCCTCTTCCTCCCTCTTTCTTTCTGCTTCCTCTTTTTCCTTCTCCTCTTCCTCCTCCTCTTCTTCCTTCTCCTCCCCCTCGTTTCTTTTTCTTTTTGTTTGAGAAACATTTCTAGTCAAACATGTTAGTTTAGGTTCCAGATAACTTTTTATGGGGGCCTAAGGAATGAGGTCCCATTCTATAGGGACTCTGACTTTATAGATCCAATCTCTTCTAACACAAGTACCATTTGAAAGTTCCAGGATGAACAGGGCCTCCTGAATTTAAGAATAAAGACCACAGAGGATTTGCCATACAAGGGATAAAGACATTAATCTCTTATTTGGCCATAAACCTGGTATCTGATGATAGGGTTCCAATGGTGGGAAACCCTGTAAACTTTTGACATATTCCCCAGGCACTTAACTTTCTGAGTGGCAATGTCATTGGGGACAGACAACTGGAATGTTAAAGTATAAATAAATACTGACATAAAAATACTCGAGCCATATCTACACAGTTCACTCCCCCAGCTTCTCTAATCTGTGCCAACCAGTTGGCTACTGTCTATGCTCTTTCATTTCCACTATTTCTCCCTTGATTACAAGAGGTCAAAAGGTACTTCCTTGTTGTTTTTGGACATCACTAATGGGGTCAGTGTCCATGAAATGGGCCACCACTACGGAAAGTCATACAGATGTAATGTGACTTCCCATAGCTTTTCGGGGGGAGCACAGGTGGCCATTAAAACATAAAAGCTGTTGAAGCTCCTGCTCTCCCAATTCTGGTTTCAGGACAAGACAGAAAGCCTCTGAAGCCTTGGAAATAAAACAGTGCTGTCTTCCCTGATCTTCTGTGGGACTGGCTGAGGGAGCCAGAGCAGGGACTCAGCTCTGAGATGAAGTCTTTCAGGGAGACCTTCTCACAGGTTTGCAATGAGCTGCAGGGACCCAGACCTGGCTGGTTAAGACACTGAAGGATCACAGCACCCAGGGTAGAAGTGGAAGAAGTACAGATGTTTATTATAAATCAGCTTAAACCCCTTTATGTCTCTGACAAAGTAACAACAACAACAAAAATCATACTAATCAAAGGACCTCCAGGGTTTAATATCTCAAAAACACAGATAAATAGCTCACTACAGATAAATAGCTTCACCCTTTGGGTATTCTCAGAAGCATATGAGACATTTCCAGGGGGTCTGTAGGAGGGGATGTGTAACCAGTACACCCCCGTCCCTCCCCCACTGGAAGGTGATGCCTAGGCATTGGGCCCCTGGAAAGGCAACATGGACCCATTCAGATTTCCTCCCAGGAACCAATCCCTCTTAGCTCTGGGGATGTCCTTAGCATGTGGCTGCCAACTGGGAGGCGGGGTGAAGGGAAGGTTGGGGATAGGAAAGATGTGTGTGTGGCTTTTGTGAGAAGCAGTCCATAACACACCCCAGGGAGTGAGACTGGCTTTGAGGCGGGAACTGAAACAGTCAAATTCTTGCCAATTGTTAATTGGGCCCTCATTTCAGAAAGCAATGCTATTCTTATAAATTGAATTGACTTCAAAAAAACAAAGCACAATAAACAAAAAAGAGTAGAAAATTTTATGCTAAAAAAAAAAAGAACCGCAATGAAATAATCAGTAGCACATTGCATCTGTGAATGTCCCAGCTCCCTGTAAAGATTAGGTAGGATTTCTAAGGTCATGGTGTAGGTATTACGCCCCGATCTTCACGTCTTCATTCTGCAAGTTCTGTGTCTCGTCGGTTGTCATACACTGGTCCATGGTCTCTGACGGCTCCTTGTTCACCAGATGCACCATCTCCTGAGATTTGCTGGCTTCCCCATTAAGTCCGCTTGGCTTTCTGTCCTCCACGGCTCCATTCCCGTTGTTGATCACCAGCTTTTTCTTCTGCCCACACCTAATAATTTAAAGATCATGTGAGAAAAGGGTGCAATGATGCAATCGTCATTATCACAGTCATGATCACTATGGTTTATAACAATCTTAGAAAGTATGTTTCACCTTATTGGACTCTTTAAAGTGAAGTCCCCTAAACCGGCAGTAAAAGCATCAGCCACCGTGAACTTGTTAGAAATGCAAATTCTCAGCCCTACCCCAGACATATCGAATCAGGAAACACTAGGAGTGGGACCCAGGAGCTATGGTTTAATGAGCCTTCAAGGGGTTTCTGATGCACACTCCAGGTGGAGAACCAGGGGTCACAACTCAGGAAGCCAGCGCTATGACGGGTGAGAAAACCTGGGGCTCAGAGAACTCAGTGCCTTGCCCCAGGTTACTCAGCAAGTAATAAAAGATCAGAATTCAACCCCTGGAGTGTCTGACTCCCAAATTCCAATTCTCCTTTCACCACACTATGCAATGGAAATGTTTCTTTCTTCTTAGTGCTTTAGCAATTTTTGCAGACTCAGAGAAACCACCAACACGATGATTGTGAATCAATCATTCTGGTGTACTAAAGAAAATCCCATTACTTCCTCTGGCAGCCAACGCTGTTGGCCTTTTCAAGGTTATTAGTGCACATACTGAGAAGAATCCAACGCCATTTTTCTAGAAGTATAAGGCCGTACTGACTGTTCCTTAGCATTGGTTACCTTTCCATATAACCCTGGTCATAGGAGGTTGATCAACTAACTGCACAAGGCAAACATTTCAGTTACTTTAAGTTTTCTAAGGGACATTACTGTTACTTTAAGGTTTCTCAGTAATACTTCTTAAGATTTAAATGCAGGTCTTCTGTGGAAGAGCACGACTTGGTCTTACTCCGGGGCACTGTCAAAGCGCTGTCTCACCCCAGGCAGCCTGACACAGAGCTTCCTCTTTCCTGTAACGTGATCCCTGCTACACATCTGGAAGTCAGATTGTGTTTCGTCGAAGCAAAATGGCAGAGCCTCACAACTATCTCTCCGCCTCCCAAGTGACAGCCACATGCTGAGGGCACCTCCTGCATGCCCGGCGCCTTGTATTTGATATGACAAATACATGTCATTTCATGTAATCCTCACAACAATCCCACAAAGTAGCTGTTTTTCCCCTTGGTGGAAACTGAGGCCCAGGGAGGTTTAATAGCTAACTGGAGGTCATACATCTAGTAAAAGGCAGAGTCAATATTCAACTCCAGGCCTTTATGACCAAAAGCCTGGACTCTGCCCAACTCTATTCATGCTGCCAACCATCTGGAGACCTGCAAACAGTACGAAGTCAGAATTGTTCACTTTGCCGCTGGATATTTGGAGTTGTAGAGACAAGGCCTCTATTATTCATGACCGTGGGCCATTCCTGCCAGAACTGCCAAGGCCATAAACTCTAATCTCTTGTTTGGGGAAAAAGAAATTATACCTCCTCAGCAGGAGTTAGATCCTGTCTCCTCTGGCAGGAGGCTTGATGAGGGCAGAGGGAAGAATGCTTGACCTGGCTGCAGATCCGGACTGGGAGCATGGATGCGCTCCCCATAGACGAGAACAAGGACTCGGGAGGCCTGGTTTTGAGACTTACTGCTGTGTGACCTGGGACAACTTACTCATGCTCTCTGAGCTTCAGCTCACTTATCTGTAATCTCAGGCTACTTAGGGTACCACTTTCACGAGATGATAGCAAGCCCTCAAAACAGAGCCTGGCACTGCATCTATGAGTCTGCTATTATTTTATTTGCTGTTTTTATGAACACTGTGGGTGAGGAAACCAAAGCCTTGGACAAGCTCTTAGAACAGTATCTGGAACACAGTAAATGTTCAAGAATCACTGGCTGTAATTCGAATATAACGAGCATCACATCAACTGGGTTTTGCTTGTTTCTGCGGCCGCCTCCAGCCCCTTGTCACGTGTACTATGAAGATGACTTAAAAGGCCGAAGGCAGAATGTTGCTCGTGTTATTTTAGATTCTTGAGTGGTATTTCGTTCTTTGGAAGAAAGGTGACTTGTTAGAGTAATCCCCATTGCCTACCTGGTGGGTGCTTGAGAAGTTGAACGAGATATTGCAAGGAAGGGATTTATAAGCATAAAAAAAAAAGCTTGTGTGTGGGGGTGAAGTGAGGCTTGATATGCTGACATAAACAAAGCTGACTGGGAAGGTGGATGGCATCCGACCTACAGGGCTTAGGAATGCGGGGCTCGGACTTTGCCCTGTCCACGCTTCCCTTTGGATTTAGGTGTCTCTGTTACCTGCCTGAGTTCTTTCAGGCTGGCAGGATGACTCTCTTCAATAACTCAGTCTGATGTGTGGTGCTCCAGGCGTTTATCAGTACTTATTTATAAGTACTTTCAAAAGACATGTCCTCTTTTTTTCATCCTTCTGAGTTGGAAAAATGTTCAAAGGAACGGTATTAGCACTGAGGGACTTCAGAGGTCATCTAGCCCAGCCTTTTCCTTATGCTGACTGAAGACTGAGTCCCAGAAGCCCAGGCTACTGCCCGAGACTGCACCACTAGCGAGGGCAGGGCCAATGTTGTGCGACATTGAGTCCAAAGGTCAGAGGTCTCCACTGAACTGCATCTTGCCTTTATATCCTTTCCCCTAAATCTCAGGCATTAGCTGAGCATGGTGACCACATGATGTGGATGGACCCAGGCTGCAGCCTTGCCAGGAAAGGGTGGACAGGCTCCGTGGGGTTTAGAAACCAGGTAACGTACAGTTAGAACATGAAGGAATTTCTCTTGAAAGATTTGGGGGATGAGGGTGGGTAACTTAACAGCCAATCTTATGTCTCTTCTACCTGGCCATCCTTAAAGATATTGAGAGGTTTATTTTGCTTTGTGCTAGAGCCAGGTCATGCAATACAGTCACCACTAGCCACACGTGGCTATTTCAATTTAAACTAATTAAAATAAAATAATATTTAAAATTCACTGAAGATGAACTAGCCACATCTGGAGCGCTCGGCAGCCACCCGTGATTCATGGCTGTGTATGGGACAGGACAGGTATGGAACCTTTCTGCCATCGCAGAAAGTTCTGTTGGACAGCTCCATTCTAGAGGGCGGAAGGAGGCTGGGTGGGCACAGATTATGGAGATCAAGACTGCAGCTGAAGAGAAGGCAGACATTCTAAATCCTGGAACTTCAGCAAGGGGACCTGCCAAGTAGATGGTGGATGACTCCCCACTGGGGCTTACAGAAAAGACGCTAATTTTCATGAGAGGGAAATCCATTGAAGGCCTCTTCTGCACAAGCAGTGTGGAAACATTATTGAATCACTCTTGCTTTGTGAAGCTTTTTCCAGTCAGGCCCTCCCATTTTTTTCCCCTCTCCATACTAATCAGATAAATTCTTGAAGGAAAAGGCACTTAACTTCTTCTCTTGGGCCTCACTGAATATCTATCTACCACTCCAATGGACTCCCAAGACCACTGTTTGCTCTTAAAGACCATGAATAAAGTACAATTTTCATTGTCAAGTTGCAATTCAAGGACTCTGGTTACATGAAGAACAGCAAGAAAAGGTGACGTGGGTTATGACAGGGATGGAAAAAGCTAAGGAAATAATAGGACTTCTAAATCAGCACCTTTAAGGTGATGTCACTCACAGATGACACTGTCATGGGAACCTGTGGTCAACCCTTGAACGTCATCTTCAGTGACTAATGTTTTTTCACTTTTATCTTTTAACCATAATTCATATAATAGTGCTTGGCACAGAGTATGTGCTCAATAAATATTAGGTGACTCAAATCCAACAGGCCAATATTGCCACGAAACCTCAAGACTCTTAGAGAAAGGATGGTATTCTTTTTTGTTTTGAATCTTCTCCTTCTCTTGCCCAGGGCTGACAGTTATAGCTGCCCCTCAAATGACGTTTCCCAAATAAACATATGTTTGTTGTAGGTCCCTGCTTCTAACCAAACTTTCTTTGATGAACACAAGATTCTACAGCTCTCTAACTCGTAGTGCTCAAAGCAGTAAGGCCTGGCCTTTAAGAGGATTAGAAAAAGGCTAGCGACTTTAGCAACCCAAGTGCACCTTAGGGTCCTGTGAAGCCTTATAACCACCTTTTAGCTGCCTGGCAAGTCCGTTTGTGGTGATCAGATCAGGACGTTTTATGGCAGCCAAGCAGCTCTCTTCCCAGTGAGATACTCCCAGTGCTGATCCCATGAGTCCCTGTTTGCCTGTTGCTAGGGTGACTGCTGGTCTCAGGGGAGGGGGAGGGCAGTAATGGGGCCTGTTTTCACTGCTGACTCGATGGGCAATGACGTGTGAGCTAAGCAGTCACACTGCACAGACTCCAGCTGCTCTCAGGGACAGTTGTAATGGTTCTCTGAGGTCCCCCCCATGTCAACAACATCAAGGGCCACTGTTTCTATGGTGATATGTGCAGAACTCATGGACTGTGTATGTGAGCAGGAGCAATACTTTCTAGGACCTGGGACAAAAGGACTGATTTCAAACAATAGGAAATTCATATGTAATTGAGCAAAACTAACCTAAGAGATAATAAGGAAGCCAAGGTCAAGTATAAAAATTCTCTGGAAGGGGTCCCTTAAGTCACATTATTTAAATTCAACTTAAAAAAAATATCTTTCCATTTAGTCACAGAAGACAACTAAAAGGGCTTTCAGATTTCCTTTCCTAGTTTTTGTTCCTTATACAATCAGCTGCCATGACTAATTATTTTTATTATGCCTTCAAACACACAGATAGCAACACAGTTGTTTGACTGTAATATAGCACTTTTATTAACTTGTACCTGTGTAAGACAGCCTTATTTAATTTCTTCAGATAATTAGCAATACTGCCTGGGCTGCCCACAGCAATGGAATTGAGTATTTGCTATTTTCCAAAAGCCAGTGAGGAAGATTGTGTTATTTTTTTCTCCCAAGCCTACTGGTATTTTCTAGCCTGTTAGATGACCTAGTGATACCATAAAGGTGACCTCACTTGGAAATAAGATTTTTTACCTTTTATGAGAAACCTCAAGAAACACTTACAAAAGGCTTAATGTTCCTAAGCATATGCTCAGAGAAAAATAACACCTCTCAAAAGCATCTTAAGTAAGAGATTTAGACTAGTATTTGTGGAGTGCCCCGGTCAAAGTTCATTTTCTCTGTTGCTAGAATTTTTCTTCACTTCACATGGTGTTATTCCTGGAGCCTGGTCACAGCTCAACCAGGTGTGTGTGTTGTTTAAATAACTTCTGGAACAATAGGCCTTGGGTGAGGTAGGGAGGGAGGAGGACCATCCTTTCAACTGCTGCTTCCAGCAAACAGAAAATAGTGTCCTTACCGAAAACAAGCAAACAAAGCCCAAAACAAACTAAAGAACTCAATGCCTGTTTTAGGTGAAGATTCTAGAAAGTTCCATGGGCCTCAGCCAGGGGATGACCAATCCCTGGATCTTTATATGGTGTTTTTGTGTTTTGTGAATGTACTTAATAAATATCTGTTTAATAAATCAATAAATGAATATATACTTTTATGCCTTTCTGGTAAGATAGTTCATAATTCATCAGATAAGGTTTCAGTGGGCTTTAACCCCCAAATAATGAAGATCCCCAAGAGATTCAACCGATATTCAAGAACAGTGATATAGATCATTACAGTGTCTCTTTTCCAAAGAATGTGCCAGAGCAGTGCCTATTAAACTGTACCAGGTACATGAATCTCTTGAGACCCTGACCAAACAGATTCTGATACAGGAGGTCTGGGTGAGGCCTGAAGCTCTGCATTTCTAACGAGCCCCCAGGGTGCTGAGGCTGCTGGCTCCTCTGAGCAGCAAGGACCTACAGCCTAAGTTTAGGTGATGCCCTTCCAGAGTCAAAGTCTCCGAGGGGCATCCCCTTACCTTCTTCGACTGTTGACAGCGATGCAAACTGCAAGAATCAAGGCCAGGGCCAGGAGGGAAGCCAAGATGATCAGCCATTCTGGTGCAAGCAAAGGAAAAGACACCCGTGAAACTGGGAAACACATTTTGTGAAAACAAACACACACTTAACGAAATAGACCCGGTCCAAACAAGAACCACACAGTAGGTACTACAGATGCGTCTGACCAAATGGCCCAGCCAGTAGGCAAATAATACTGGAAAAGCAATTTTTCTTTAGGAGTTTCTCCAGCCCGCCTCTTGTTTTAATCTCTCACCATCAGCCAGAATTTCCAAGTCTCTCCAGGAGAAAAAAGTTTCCAAAAAAAATGTAGAATGACCTGTTGAGACTTGTAGATGCCCTTGATGTAATTATTAAGTAAACCAAAAGAAACGTATTCTTCTCTTGAAAGGAAGATTCCTTTCCTACACAAGAGCATCCACCTAAAAATGGAGGCCACGTACTAGTGAGTGGGAAGGAGGACAGCCCTGTAGATGTTGGAACCTGCACGTGTGCACTGGAAAGTCATTTGGCAAAACTTGTCACAAGTCTTCAAAATGCACATGCTTTTGATAGAGCAGTTACACTCCCAGGAAATTATAGGGCTTTAGAATGAGCTATGAGGATGTTTATTACTGAGCTATTTATAGAAAAAGGTGAAAACGACCTAATATCCAGCAATAAGGAATAAACTACATTGAATAAATTAGAGTACTTTCCTTGTATTATGTACTATATATGCCCTAATATTTAATGACATTGGAAAGCTGTGGCCAGCCAGTCAAGAGTGGTAGTTTACTAAATAGCATATATGGTATAATTGCAGTTTTGTATACAAATTACATTGAAAAATGACAGGAAGGACATATGTGAAAATGGTAACCACAGTATTTCTGGATGGTAAGGTAGATAATAAGTGATTTATATTTTTGTCCTTTTTTAAGCTGCATTTTCTAAAATGTCTGTAGTAGTTCATGCATCATTTGTGGACTAATAAAAATGCCATATACATGTTTTTAAAATCAAGCTTTAACATATTATGATATGACTTGACAACTTGAATAAATTCAGTTGCCAAGTGGGCCGTGTATCTGTGCAATAAGCTTGGGAAACAGGAAAGATGGACAGTCATTCACAGTCCATTCACCTTTGGGGGTCCTGGTTCTCCTCTGATTTCCTGCTCAGTGCTCCCCTTGGCTAACCTCTACCTCGTTATGTGAGTCAGGAGTATTGGGGAATCCAACAGGGGAGAACCATTTCTGTTCTGTCCTGGGTCTCTAATTCAGAGATGCCCCACATTCCCACTCACCCAGGTTGGAAAGAATCCTGCTGCCTGATTATAGCAAATTACATTGCACCCACCCCATCCTCTGGGCAGCCCACTTCCTCTCCATGGGCTCTGCCTCCAGCGGTGCCCAGGCCAGCTGAGGCAGGGGGTGGGCACACGCCGCATCCTTCCCTTTCCCCATGGAAGGCTCAGTTTGGAGACCTCTGAAGGGTGGGGCGTTTGAGGACCAGAAGAATGTTTTCACTCTACGCAATACACTGTCTGAAATGTCAGGGGAATTTTGCACATGTCTTCCCCAACCCCAGACATGAAGGGGAAACTGAATTGGGACGGGAGGGACCTGGCTGTGACCTGGAGTCCCCTGGGTGATCACTCCTCTGAGGAGGAAGCTTTAGGAACTAACATGACACTGCACTGGGACAGACCAGGGACAAGTGTGAATATGAACTCAGCCAATCTATGGATCCTGGGGAAAAAAGTTCCACCTTTTCTTTTCTTTTGCTCACATTCATCTTTAGCTTGCAAAGAGGATCAATCAGTTTCAAGAGTTGGACATTTAGGAAGCTGTGCTTTCAAACTGGTTGCTTCTTCCTTTCTGGGACATCCAGAGAGACCAGCTTTTAGCATCATTTTTCTCCCCACAGCTCGAGACTCACCTGGAATTTGAGGTTTCCTTATAGGACCAGAGGTTGTGCTGGCCCCACCTTCGTGGCTCCCCCTGGAGTGTCCTAAGGAGAAAAACATCTCTCAGATGAAGTTTGGGATGTATAACCAGGCTTACAGAGCAGCTCACGGGGCCAGCCGCGCATCCTGCAAAGCTACTTATACATCCAAGCCACAGACATTCATAAGGTGCCACAAGAAAGAGATCTCCCCAGAAAACTTCAGTTTGATTCAGGCTAAGGTTTGAAAATGTTACTTCTCATCAAGAACGTGAGACTTTAGAGTAGCACTGCTGTTAATAACTGTTTAAGCCCTTGGGCTCGAGGGTGGGACCACCCTGGATTCAAGTTCTGCTTCTGCCACTTGCTAGTAACCTGTGCTGGCTCAAGTGACCCTCTCCAAGTCTCAGTTCTCTTACTGTTCATTGGGGTGATACCGGAATGTACTTTATCATAATTCTACAGAGGCTTAAAGGAGCACATAAGACTGGTAATCATATGTAGTTATTTTCTATTTTTAATTTTGGACCTTGCTACTCAAAGCATGGTCCCCGGGCCAGCAGCATGGGCATCACGTGGGAGAATGCTGGGAACACAGAATCTCGGGCCTCACCCCAGACTTACCGAACCAGAATCTTCATTTTAATAAGATCCCTAAGGGCTTCACATGCTCCAGAAAGGCCAAAGCAAATCTTAAAATCACATCCTATGTCGTCATAGAAGTGAGATAAATATTATAAAATAAGGGTTTGGGGGGCCATGGCCCTTTCTATCTATGAAAAACCCATGCCTAACCAGGCTTACAGAGTGGCACATGGGGTCAGCCTCCACATCACTGAAAAGCTATTGATGCATTCAAGCCGCAGGCATTCATAAAGTGCTGTAAGAAGGAGATCTCAGAAAAGTTCAATTCAATCAGGCTTATCTACTGTTGAAACCTGCTAATATATTATTGAACCATGCTCTGTTTTTGAAGAATGAACATTTCCCTCTGCTGCAAAACAAAATAAGGAAACAAATAAAAAAATTTCAGACCGAAAAGAAGCATTGCAACACAAAGAATCCACAAGTCAGAACAGGAGGCTGGTGAAGAGACTCACCCAAACAAAAGCTCTGGGGTTTCTTTGTGTTTTTTTATGCTTCCCTTACTGCTTCACAACAAAAATGGAAAAGATCCCATCAAAAGGAACTCTACTTTCCCTACTAAAAGGAACCCCATGGCAGAATCCCGCAGGTCTGCAAGGGAAGAAAACAGAACAAAACAGGGCTGTTTGTTCGGGCAGCCAGTGAAGGAAGGTGGCTGGGCCTCACAGGAAACACTCTGAAGACAGCCAACCTTCCGACGGGGCACAGAAGTCAGTGGAGTCTTGATCAGGATGGTTATTTTGGGCAGGGTGGATCTTGTTTAAGCAATTTGACATTTGTGTTAAACTCAAGTTCTACCATGTGTCTAGCCATTCCAACATACCCCATGCCAGTTTGACAGCAGCCTCTCCCTTTACAGACCTCAGAAGTCCAGGACACTTTCTCTAGCTGCCGACCAGAGTTCTTGATCATTGGCAGGTGATCACCTGCCCTGGTCATGGGATTTGGGCCATTTAAACCAGAGCTCTTTGGCCTTCTAAACCACCTCAGATCTACAGTCACTCTCACTGGTCTTTCCCTGACTCACAGCAGCCTTTGATATTTGAAAGGGAGGCCATTAATGGATCATAATTTCTTTATTTCTATATTCCAAAAAAAGCGCTCGCAGCAAGGAAAGATCTGGGCGTGTGTACAGCCAGATGAAACCTCCTGTTTGAACAACAGACACCTGCACAGGAGTCAAACAAAAGAGACCGCTCCCACCCACTTGGTTCTCACTTCAAGCAAAAGCCGAGGAGATGAAGAGATACAGCACGTCTTGCCTTGCACTCTCAGAGGCCTGAAAATGTAGCTTGGGTAGGGCTGGTGGGGAAAGCAAGTTCTGCAAAAAGGAGCACTCGATACTGCAGGTTGGAGATGAGATCCAATCTGAGACGTGTGCAGAGAAATAATGCGACAGGCTTTAAACTATGAGAAAAGCAGTCCAGGATAGTGCTTCTTGAGCCTTAATCTATATAAGCTACCTAGTGGGGTGGGGAGGATCTTGATTCAGGAGGCCTAGGATGGCTGAGGATTCTGCATTTCCAACCAGCTCCTAGGTGATGGATCTGCTGCTGGTCCAAGGACCACCCTTGGAGTAGCTGGGGTCTCTTGATTTTAGAGAGCGTTGCCTTTTAGTAACAATTCCCTATCATTTCCAAAATCCTTTCAAATTCCTGACACCTCATGTTCTTCACAAGAACTCTAGGAGGTAACTGAGGCCAGGGTTCTGATTCCTTTTTTCAAGTACAGAAATGGAGGTTGGGAAAGGCTCAGTGCCCTACCTGGGTCCCCGGAGAGCCTGGGACTTCTGTTCTTATTTTAGAAGCATTTCTAATGAGCCCCCACACCCCTGTCCTCTTATGTAAATGGTTATCACCCAAACTACCATGTAAATATTCACCTCATTTTGCTTTAAGTGTGTGAGCGTTTAGGTCTGGAGGCAACCCCGCTTGCAATGGAAGCGTGAAGGGGAGGACAGCAGTTCATAAGGATGACCTGGCTTGCATGGGGCCACCTGGACAGATGATGCTCAGGGACACCTTGGTATGACAGCACCAGCACAGCCCCAGCGTTCATGGTCACAAGTACACCTGCTTCATGTCAGACTTTTGCTGCCTGGAGTGACATTTCCAGGAGTGAAATGTGAGTCACAGCAAATAGGAATCCATTTAATAATGCATGCCTGGTGGTAATTATGGTCATTACAGAGTGCTCCCTCCAGACTGTGCTTATGAGAGGTGATACAGGACCTTGGGACTTGAAATGGGGCTCCACCACTCAACCCACTTGTCATGTCAACTTGGCTAAGTTGCTTAGTGCCTCTGAGCCTTAGTGTCCTCTGTAATATTGGGATAATAATAGTACTTATGTAAGTTGCAGGGTATGAAGGATGATTAAATGAGTTAAAAATAGGTGAAAACATATGAAATATGTTTAATTTCGTCTTTGACTATTGACTGACTGTTTAATATGGCCCAACCTAACACACTGTGATAATTACAATCCAAATTTTATTGATTAGGAAACTGAGTCTCAGATTCTTTAAGCATCATCCCCAGTTTGTACGAGGAGGAGCTGAAATCAAACCAAGCCGTTCTTATTCCAAAACACATGTTTCTAAATCACTCTGGTGTAGTCCAATGTTGAATTGAGATCCTGCTTGGATTCTCCCTGATCCTTTCAAATGGAAGAATTCTCTCCAAAGCAGTAGTTCTGAGAGAACAGTCCTTGCTTTAGCATTATCAGCATCACTGGGGGGCTTACTAAAAAAGCACAGGTGCTCAGGCTCCACCCCAGACTTGCAGGATGAGAAACTTTAAGGACAGAGCCCATCTGTGTGATTTAATGAGCCCTCCCCATGATTGCAATGCATGCTAAGAAAGTGTGAGGACCCCTTTTGCAGAGACACTGACTCTGACTTCACTATCAGCAGGTGCAATGAGGTTGACAGTCAATAACCGAAGCAGCTCAAACTCACCGTCTGCTTCGGATCCGTGAGTGGTGTGGTGCCGCCCAGCGGAGTCGGAAGAGGAGTCTTGATCTCCTGTAAAGAGCAAGCAGAGAAGGCTCAGTGCTGTGTGTTCCAGTTACCCTGCCACCTGTATTTCCTCATGTTTGCATTTTTGTGCACTTTGCTTTCATCCCAAAGCTTAGTCTTTTAAAGGGAAGCAAAATGATGGCAAAGAAGCCTTGAATGGGTTCACAATATTAATTACTTCATTTCTTACTCCACTGATAAATGCACTAGAATTTTCATCAAAATTAAGAAGGTTAGTTCAGTACAGACCATCAAGGAGAACCACAGGAAGTATGGCTTTGACGGAAACCTCATAACTGTAACATGCAAACAGAAATATCATGATGCCTTCACAGGTCTGAGGTTGGGATTTGATACTGTGTCTTTAAAACAGAGACTATAGGCTTTGAATTGGGACAAGTGTGATCCCTGGGACTGGGTGTGCTCTGGGGCTGAGGGCATGAGACATTCAAAGAGAGTTCTCTGAGACAAGGAATAGAAAAAGGTCTTGGTGGGCAATAAAGGATCTTGGGGTTGAATTATGTAAAGATTCAAAGAGAAAAGCCAACTGCTGATTTAAAAAATGTCTGAAAATAAGTGAAAAGGAAATGGAGAAATGATAGCTAACATGTAACTAATTAGAATATGTTTCAAATAGAAATATTTTTCAAAAGTAAAACCGGCATGTTCAACACCAAGACTTAACATAATCCATCTTCTCAAACATCCATCATGGACAGGCTTTAAATTGCAACTTCGTGAATTGCCAAACTCTGGATCCACATGTCAGACCTTGGATTTAGCACATGGAAACTCTTGGTTTTCTCCCTCCTCCCCACGCATTTTTCAAAACTATACTTGAATCTTAAAACAACACAAAACAGGACAATGGTTTCACAAAATGACTATACTCACCCATTATAAAGGTACCTATAAGGAATATACCATAGTCTGATCACCACCATTGCCTGTACAGTGGAGGTAGGTGGCATGTACTTGTATAGAGGAGACAGATTGCTTTGTTCCCTGGCTGCTGGTTAGAATAACGAAAGACAGCATCTGCTGAAATGCCAGCACCAAAACCCCCACTGGCATCACCACCACCACCACCACTACCATCGCCACCACCACCACAATTCCAAGTGTTTTAAAACTTTAAGATTAAGTAAAAAGACTGAGAAAAAATGTTTTGGAAGAAAATTAAAAAATGAGAGTCAGATCAGTTACTGAGCATGTAATCCATGGGGAACCATGGAAAATCGGTTGATACCGGATAGAATGTAGAAGAAATGAGAGTACGTGGGTATCGATTTTGGAAAAAATATCTTCTTTACTAACAAATGGTCTATGTAATCCTTCTAGGCCACTGTAACTATTAAAATTGCCATTTAGACTTTAAATTCATTGGTTTGCATGACAGGCCTTATTTTTGCCGAGAGAAATTAGGCAGTGCTCTAAGAGTCATCTCTACAGAAGAATACTGACAATGACACTTGGAATTTTCAATAACTGAAAACAGAATCACTCTGAATAAAGAACCAAAGGCTGTGATGGGTTCTGTGTGGCCAGTATTGCCAAGGTCAGAACTTTCTAAGACTGTTTTCCCTGAAGCCTGGGATGGGCATCCCGGAGGATGGACGCCGTGCATGTGGCATCCTGGGTGTTCCGTCACCACGTCAGTCAGAGCATCGCAGCTGTCACCTCTTTTGTGTATTGAGTTCTCCTAAGATTTATTCTTCTTTGGGGAGGGGGGAAGGAACTTGGCACATATAAGGTTCAGTGTTACCTGCAGTTTTCACACATCCACTGGGGGTCTTGGGACACATCCACAGTGAATAAGGAGGGACTGCTATATATTTTTGGTAGTACATGTATCATTTTTTCCTATACATGCAAATCTATGATAAAGTTTAATTTATAAATTAGGCATGGTGCGAAATTAACAACAGTACCTAATAATATAATAGAACAATTATAGCAATACCCTATAATAAAAGTTATGTGAAAAGTTATGGCATTAGTGAGTAGAATAAGAATTACGCACAAGCACTGTGACCTCACAACAGTCGAACTGAGAACCCAGATGGCAACTAAGTGACCAAGGGGTGGGTAGCATAAATAGTGTGGGTACACTGGACAAGGGACGATTCACATCCCTGGTGGGGACAGAGCAGGACAGCATGAGATTTCATCACGCTACTATGAATAGTATACAAATTAAAACTGATAAATTATTTATTTCTGGAATTTTCCATTTAATATTTTCAGCTGACCACAGTTGACCACGGGTCACTGAATTGTGGAGAGCAAACCCATAGATAGAAGGAGGGGACTACTCTGTATTTAAAATCACTGGTCTTGAATAGGCCTCAGTGGTTGAGTGGTGAGAGGACCTTGAAAAACTGGCACCAAGAAAAGAGACTATGATTTTAGCTTCTTAGCCAGAGCAGGTATCTTCTAGTTCCATTTTCTACAATGTTAGTCTTTAATGCAAATGGAGAAACAAAGAAGAACAAAAGTAGGGAGGACTGTTTATTTGGGGAAAAAATCTCCTTCTAGGTCCAGGTCCAGCTGAAGTCGTCTTCAGCCCCCTCTTTGCCATTACCACAGGAGGAACGGTGCCTACTCAGTAACAGTAGATCATGTCATGACGTTTTAACAGTGCATCATAACTAGGAGAGGTTTATCCACAAGCCCTCCACCAAAAGAAAAATTCACCAATCCATCACCAACAGGAGGTAATGACTTCAGAGCGAAAGTATTAGTATGTGCGAATTATTCACAGGGGGGGTAAAACCTTAATAAATAAGCAGCATGCTATTAGCTGGATCAAATAAAGTAGCTAATATTTAACTTCTCTGACCTACTAAAGTATCAATTTCACATAGATCAACTTCATACATCACAAGATCAGTAACAAGGCAAAGAAAGAAATTCTATCATAATAACCAAGTCACAAAAATAAGTGGAAATTACACTGGCAAACGAAAGCATTCTTTATCTAAACTAAATCTAAGTTTGCCCACACTAGAATGATAACATGACAAAAGTTCTCATGTCACCGATCAGTCTAGTCACAGCCTGCACAGAAAATGACCCCTGCAACATGAAAGTATGTGTTGTTTTTGACATAAAGAAAGCAAACCAGGCAGCAAATGGTCCGATTACCTGATAAGGAAAGGTCAACATGAACTTTGGAGTCTCCAACAGTAGTAACTTCAGTAACTGCAGGAGCCCCCGTGTTAGCAGGGGTCACTGGGGGGAGGGTTGTGTATTCCTTTGTGTCTGGGGAATGAGGAGGATAAGCTTCCGCTGAGGTCGCTGAATCTTCAGGAAGATTTCCAATTGTTCTTCCACCTTTGCCATCATCCCTAGCTGTGTGACGTGGAATTAATGGTGAACTCACAATTGTACAATAAGACCACCACTCATTGTGTGAGTGTCTTAAAAATGTACAATTGCTGCAGAAGTTTTCCACTTATTACGTATGAACACAGAGCAAAAGAGAGTGTGATTTGTTACACTCTTGAGCAGAATCTATATTTTGCAATTGATACCACCTGGACTCACTCAACAAAAGAGATTCTGGTGATTCTAATACTCAGACATTTGTTGTAATATCTGCCTGAGTTATTAAGGTAAGTTTTATGCCACTACAACTATGACATTGATACTCTTGAGCTCTTACTCAATTAAACCCACCTTTGATGAAGTGGAGGAAACATATGATTGAATTTAAAGGTAAAATCATGGGGTCTGGGATTGGAATAGCCAATGCAAGTGTTTAAAGAGCTGGGGTTTCATCTTTTTACTTTTTACCAGAGGGCTCTGCCTCTTACTCACCAGCACCATCAATTTATGGTCCAGAGTATAAATGGCAAAATAATATTATATAATGAGAGGAAAATAGAGAGCAATGTAAGTCAGTTATAGGTCATAAATAAGCACTCTAACTCTAGAATTTAAGAAACCTGACCTTTAAGATTAAGAAATATAGTTGCATTTAATGTACATGGCTCCTAACAAGTCTACAAAGCAGAGAACTCAGAAACCCATCACCAGCACCCCTAGTCAGAAGTAACAACATTAACAACAGTCAATGAATGCACCTCCACCAACAGCACCGCGCAGACACCCACAGCTGGAGCCAAGCAGGCTTTACCATCTTCGCTGCTAGAGGGTGCAGTAGAAGTCATGGGCTGCTCTTTATCTTCTTCCAAGCCTCCATGTGATGTAGAGAAGCTCTGAGTGTGACTCTGCTCTGTTTTCAAGGAGGGATGAATCCAGCATTAGTTTAGAGCCCTGAAACAAATCCTGTTATCTGCTGGCAGGCGGGATCTAGCCCTACTGAGTCAGACAGATAGAGGCACCAGAATCCCAAGCTTTGTGCATGCCATTCTCCTCTGATGGATGAAAATGTACGAAAGAGTTCTGTTTTGTTCCTAGTTAGCTCCTGAGACACTTTGTTTTGAGGTTTTTTTTTTTCCAGTATCATCAACAAAGATAAAATGCCAACATAAAGCCTGAGGCAAAACTTGGTCTATCCTGGATCACCCCAGCCCAGCTGTACAATAACATTGCTACCAGTCACTGAGGAAAACCAGAGGACATAGAGACAGAGAAAAAGAAATGTTTGACTCCCAGGGCTCCTATCAACAATCAAGAGCACCTAGGTGTGTGTCAAGAAGTGTGACTGTTGGGAAAATAATCAGCATGATAGCACAGTATGCCTATAGCCACCAGAGAGGAAGAAGTTCATGTAGAATAATTTGCTCGAGTAACTCAGATCCAATTTACAAAAGGAAATACTTTAGTCCCTCCTAAAGAACATTAAATTAAAGTTACTGTTTTACTCTATTATTAGGTTTTTGATCTCCTCTGTGGACAGGGATTCTCATTGCCATGTTGAGACGCCAGGGAACGCTTGCCTGGGCAAACACAGGGCCTCACTGTAGTATCTGCAATTAGAAGTTGAGCCACTGCCCACCTCTGAATTTGCTTTGACTGTTTTGAGTTCATTTCCTTTGTGTTCTTCTAAGAAAAGTACTGGCCTCTGAGTTACAGGTGCAAGCACTCCATAAAGCACACCATGTCCACCACCAAGTAAATGTGACAGCCAGGAGGAAGACCCGCACAAATCCCAAGCCAACATTAGAACAAAAGTCAACAGGGACATAAAACGGAGATACAAGACCCTCTATTGGCAGAGACCATTTTGGCTTATTTGCATCTCCTTTAATACTTAACCCTGTGCTATTTACATTTAGGATGATCAACACATGCTTGCTGATTTTTCCCTTTGCCCAAAAGGACTCACATAAAGAGTCCTGTCCATTATGTGCAGCAAGCAGGGAAATTAGGTCTCTTAATTCTGGATTTCTTTCACAGTCTGTCAAGAGATTATGAATGACTTTAGGTTGATGTCTAGGATAGCCCTGCACACACAGTGGAAGTTAAGGCTACTAGAAGCTTAGCATTGCTTCTACCGAATGTTTAGTGATAGGAAGAGGTATCAGCAAACATTCTCCTTTTGTACCCAGGCCCTGCTGCCTTTGTCAACTGTCAACAGCATGCCTTGCCCCTCTTCTGTGGGCTGATGTGATTTCCCTACTTTCTATCATTACCCATCCCCAAATTTTCTTTGCACAACAGTCCTACCCCTCTTCTGCCTTGATTGAAGAAGACATGGGAATCGAAAGGAGGTGGTCATTTAAAACAGAGAAATCACTGTCCTATCCATGAGCTTGGGTGACACTGCCATTGCTACTTAGGGAAGGAAAATTAAGGTGAATGGAGCCCCACTCCCCCACCTTTTTTAAACATAAAGTCACTGAATCTAGAACGTACCAAGAATGATGGAAAAATCACAGTTAAAGAACTCCACCAAAAAAAACACAGAAATGAAGACAGCTTTCACGCTTTAGGCTGAGCTGAGCCAGAAAGCAATAAATGCACCATTCCACCACCAAGCTATGAATTGGGGCCAGTGCGAGCAAGAACTAAAGCAGAAACACAGGTCTTATTAAGGACTGAGTGTCATTATCCTTACGGGTTGTCATTGAAAGAGATTCTGTCCTGTCTTCCACCAAACCTGTGTTTGGATCTGCAGGAGGCTGAAGTGTTGTACTATGGCTGGAGTCCATATCTGAAGGAATTAAATCAGTGTTATTATTTGATTTCCTAAACTACTACTTCAGGGTGGTTTATGACCTAGAGCTACATTATTCTTGTATTCAAACCTGGATAAAAAGTAAAGAAAGCACATACTTAGTCATGTCTCCAGACTTGGAATAGATTATGGTTTCTTCAAAAAGAAAATCGCAGAAAGTAACTGCCTTTCATTTAAGGGTTTGAGTGCTACGAAAGCTACCATTTTCTTTATTTTTGCTGAGTCTGGAAAGACACTAAACAAGCACATGACAGGCTCCCCAAACCTTGCAGAGACACATATAAACCATGTGTGACTTATCCCATTCTGAACCTACTGCCTTTCTTATAGACATATGGAACCTGCCACATGGAGGAAGGAAAAGTGCACTGGTTTAGTGACCATCTTGTCACATCACCCTTACTTGGCAAAAACACTTCTTTTAATAGGCTTCTTCCCTCATTTGGTCCTCTTCCACTTCACAAAGTGAGTGTGCAAGTAAAACATAAACTCATCACCCAATACTACCCAGGGAGAAGCCACGGGAAGTATTCAGGGACAAGAAGTAAGTAGCAGTGGGTGTCAGTGGGTTGGTCACCCTGTAAACACAAATGTGCAGTGTCTTTGGAGATTAACATGTACAATGCTGAGTGGTAAGAAATTTCACTGAAATATTTACAGACGCTTTTTAAATAATTATCACAAATCAATTCTGTTGAAACAACAAGTCCTGAGTGAAGTAAAGGCCAAATGACCCATAAACACCATCATTATTGTTGGCTCTCCGATTCAAAGTCCACCCACACCGCTGCCTCTAGAGAGACTTAACTAGTTCCAGATGACTCCAGAGGGAAAAACTGGAATATTGGGCTCCCACGTCTACACTGTAGTCTTCCCATACAAAAAGAAGAAAATCAAGATCTTCATCAGAAACAAACAAACAAACATGGCTGACGCCTTTATCCCAGATTGAAAAACAAGAACAAGCTAGCTAGCCCAAATCAAAACCCAAATTGGATATTCTCCCAGAAAAAGTCGTGCCTGTTGGTGGTCTCTGGACTCCCTTCTTTATCTTCCCTCTTATATACAGAATCTTTCACGAGATACCACACCCTTCTATGGCTTGAGACAATTTTATTGTCTTTGACATGCTCACCAATTTAACAGAATCTCTTTCTGTTCATCAGCAAGAAGACAACACTGATTCTGAAGCTACTCTACTGGCGTGGTTGTCTCCAATGCCTATCATCAGACCCTCCAGCGGCCACGTGCACAAACGCATGTGGGTCTCCGTGTGCCGGCACTTGCTCACCGTGATGACTACAACCCAGCTATTCAAACTCGTCTTCTGTTCTGACAAATGGATCTGTTCACTCTAACAAATTCATTTCTTAGCTTTCCTTCCCTTATGCTTCCCTTACATGAGTCTTCTTCCTACAAAAACTTTCCCTGACTTCCTTTCTCTGACACTCTCCGGAGGGTCCTCTGGATTTTTGGGTGTTATTGTTGGCCACATCCATTTGGCATCTATTACTTGCTGTCTCCTATTGTTGGATCTATTTTGATGCTAAATGTTTTCTTTTCTCAGTTAAATTTTAAGCCCCTTAAGAACATAGGCCATGAATTATACATTGTTGTGTCTCCACATGCTTTGCCCATTCACAGATATTTAATACCATGTGGTTTCTAATCACTAATATTTGCTGATATCTTATCACTACTATTTGGGAATGACATAGTTATGGGGTTCTAAAGATACTAAGTCATAAAAACTTTTGGATTCATTTTAGAGATAACTGTTCCAATTCACTACCAAGAGATGCGGTCACTGTGCCCTTAGAGCTCATTTTGATAATGTTCATGTTATGCACCCTTTTGCAGTTGGGATCCTGATTGCTCAGTGTCATGAGTAATGTCATCCCCATATTGGTTCTTCAGTTTATTTCCTTTTTTGGAATGTTACATTTCTGCGACCAAGACATCTTATTAAATAACAAAATAAAACTTGAGTAACTATTCATGGGTATGGTAGGAAACATGGATTCTTTAACTTTAAATAAAGACTGAGAAAAGAGGGGCATCACCTGCTACCAACTCTTGCAGATTCTCTAAGGAATGTTGTCATCTGATCTGATAAAGGAAGGATTCTTTTTAAATATAAAAATTGGTCAGATAAAATCACAATGCTCCATTCTTACAGAACTACAGCTAGTATCTTTTTTATTCTTTCTTCTTCAATTCGGATTTTTAAAAATAGCTTATAGATAAGAATGTAGTTTAAGAAAACAGAGACTGCATTCTCTGTCAAAGTTTTCCACTTATGAAATTCACAAACATTTATGGAGGGTCAAGAGTGGTCTAAATCTTAGGTCACTTGGTACCATATCTGTCTCTAAATGTGGCGAGAATAAATAATAAAGTTTTCTGAGCCTTTTAGTTATTTGTTCAGAATAAGCACTCAGCAATTTTTTGCCCTCTAAGATTTCTCTACCAAAGGCAAGTTTTATCTTTGGGCCTACAATGAAGATGGTCATTGAACCCATCACTTGACTTTTTAAAAACCCTGCACTTAGGAGCAAGTGAAACAGAACTCTTGATACTGCCCCTTCTTCAGAGGAAATGACTTCCACTCCCATCATTTTAGGACTAATTCTTCTTTAACTTTCCTGCCAAACCCTTCACTGTCAGCTCTGGACCTCACATTCGGATAAATGAGCACATCACTTTTACAAAGGAAAGGAATTTTTGAGGAAACTTCAATTTCCTTCTTAAGAAAGTAGACTGGTCTAAAACCCAGGACATATTTCTAGGAAACTAGCCATTTGGTAGCTTTCAAAACATATAATATAAAAAAGGCTCAGGAGCTATTACCCATGCTTTCTGTTTGATGACCTCGTCCCATTGGATGTGAGATTGGGTCCAAGAAAGAAGTCCAGGAACTGTCCTCTTGACTCAGCGTTGTCATTTCTTGATTTGGATGGCTGTCATTGGCTGAGGCTGTTGTGACCATGCAGTGCAAGCAATTGTTAAAGTGTTAGTTAAGCAGCCAGGGATACACTGATTTTCTAAAATACTTTTTTTATCTAGACAAGACATTGAAAACATTTTTCTGGTACTAAAAGCCAGGAAATGGCATAAACACAGAATGTTTTAGTAGGTATGAGTACATTCATTCTCATTTCCTTAGCAATCAGAATGCAAACTGGAGGACACAGAGGCATTAGTGACTTCTCCAGTCCATAGAAGATGAGTTATAGACATCAAGTAAAGATGAAGGAGTAGTTCTTGACCATGAAGCCACCATCCCTAAAAGAAGGAAGTATACGAGTCCAAGCACATGACATCATTCTGAGATAACCACATCCCAGAGAAATGCGGAATAGATGGTAGTAATTTAGAGAAGGAATCAGGTAATAGCTTCTCATGAGATAAACATGAAAGTAAATGCCATTCATTTCAAAGGCATGAATGGAATCCATTAGAAGTATTGCCTTCTAACAGTGAAATTTATGGCATAAATGACATGTAAGAATGTAGCACATGCTTTTGCTTCATTCTATGCCAACAACAAGGTATAGATAGAAAAGGTCACAATAGTAGTCCTTAGCAATAACCAATCACACCACATAGATAGTTACTGACCCCATCACTGTGCCAAGAATATATTCAAAAGTTGTCACAAACTGGAAGGGCATTATTCATTATATTCCATATTGCAAATGGAAACATGGGGATATTTCTCACTGATGCTAAATGAGAATATCATTCTTAAAAGGAATTCACATTCTTTTACTAGCCACATTGCATTTCAATGTTTCTGTCTCAGAGACAAAAGAATCATGCATAGGAGCTTGCAGAGTCAAGTTATCTGGCTTAGATAGAACTGAGCTTAGGCATGGTGATGAGACTGGAGTCCAATTTCCACAATCCCATGATCCAAGAACATAGAAGTTGTATTTTTTGTAAATCAAGAAAAAAACCTTTTATGTACAAGGAGAAATCCCCAAAGGGGCATGACTAAGGGCCAAATGATATCAGACAGGTATTCTTCTCAAAATGTCTGGCTCCATTTCTTACAACATTGAGGTTCTGACCAAATGCTTTCTAACACACTCAGTATTTTATAGAACCATCTCTAAAGTGTGGATCCACATCATAGAGTAGATTCCTTTATAAAACAAAAGGGAGTATTTTATAAGAGCAGAGTCTCTGCTACAATCTTGCCAGGGGATGCCCCAAACTGGATCTGAAAGTCATATGCACACGGGCACACTGTGCTAATATCCACTTATGGATATTAATACCCTTTATGTGCTGATATCCATTCCTGTCCAGGTGATTTGTTGTGAGCATTTAAGGGCTGGCTCTGTGTTGACCACATCATAATTTACTAAGGAACCTTAACATCTTGTGAGATTCCCTTCAATAACTTATTTGTTCAGTGTCCTCAATGTTCAACATTTAACCCACGAGAAAATTGCCACACAAGTTGGCTTGTTAAACCATCCATTTCTATCTGTCCCTGCAGTTGGATAGAGTCCTCTCTGGGCGTTTGGAGATACTCTCCATGCCATCTATTTGTAAACCACTGCTCTTTCTGGGTGGCCGTGTCTTCCATGGTACTACTAGGCGTTGCCAGAGCTGTGAGAATAATTTCAATGGTCAGCCATTACTGTCCGATTTCCTCACCCACATATATCTTTCTATTTTAATGGCATATATATGTGGGAGAAAAGGTACAAAAAGAAAACAGGAAGGAAAGAGAGACCACGAATTTTCTAAAAGAGATATTAGAAATCAAATGGCCGAATGCTTTAATTTTTCAGCTGGGAAAACTGGGGCACAAAGAAGATTTCATTCGCTCAAAGTCACAGAGGAAGTTCTGTACCACAGTCTGTGAATTTCCCGGTGCTATTCTTATTTTACTAAGGTTTATGACTTCTTAGATCCTGTCGGAGAGAATTGTTCAAAGAATTATCCTCTTTGTTCATGCGATTTTGTTACAAGGAATACATTACATAACAACATATGACAAGATAGCCCGGTAGGAGGCCATCTGAAATGGTGGTCACATGACCCATGGTTGCAGGTCCTGGAAGTGCCCCAGAAGTAGATTTGCCCGGAATGAAGGATGTTGGGAATGACTGGGATGCTCCTCCACCAGCACATGATCAGGTTATGCTCATGTGGCATCTAAAACTGCCAAATGCATCTTTTAACAAAATTAAGTCAGTGCAAGAAAACTATTTTTGCCAGTGTTTGGCATTATATAGACAATAGCAATATGCGACAGGCTTAAAATTTCAACCACTCAGTGTTGTAGTTGTCCAGTTTTTAAAAAGATACAATGAATGGAGTAAAATTGTATCAGGATACCCATGGGAAAACAAGAAATCACTGACATTTTCATCCAGGGCAACTAATAGCAGCAAATTCTTAGTTCTCAAGATAAAGAGAGCTCATAAACTTGCCAAGTTGAAGTAGACTTTGCAACATGTAAAACTGGTTGTATCTTATTATTTTAGAAAATACGTGTGATTTCATAGTATCAATAAAATTTTACCCTAGAATTGGCCAAAATAGTACTGGGGTTAACTTGTTATCAGATGGGAGTTAAAAAAAGTCCCCAAATCTTAAGTTTTACTTCCCGCTGACTAAATCATTGCCTTCTGACAAGGAATGGAGTTAGAAAAGATATTGAGTGCAATTACAAAAAAGGAAAATATTAACTCAAACATCAACTGCCTATGGAAGTTTCAAAAAAGGAAAAGAAATGCATGCATACATATGAGTGCACATACACACCGTTCTATATGCCTTCATCATTATTTTTACAAACATGAGCCTTTAAATACCCAGTAACCTCCTATTGTTTTCACCACGTGGGTTAAAAGAGTAGGATTTCCATTGTAAAATATTACTCTTCTTCTAGAAAGTGTAACATTCTTTTGAAATAAGCCTTTTTACACTTTCTGAATTATATGAAAATTCTTAAGCCAAGAATAAGTTAAATGTTTGCATTTTTGCCATTTTTTCCCAATAACATTATGATATCTTTACTTAATATTTAAGTTTTGTACTAAAATCAATGATAGGGTCATTTCTGTATAATACTCAATGGTTTTATCAGTTTTCTCCAGGGCCTTCTTCAATCCTATTATATAGTCTCTTAACTCTTTGACATGTCTATTGTGCTGTAATATTCCTTTGGTAAAGGCCAGAGGCCACCAACCAGAATCTCTTCATGTTTTGCAAGTGCTGATAAGAGAATTACTAAGGCTGGTGGGCTCCCCCTCTGGTAGGTTCTGCTATGTTTGGTTTTGCAACCACCTTTCAGTAATGAGGCCCCTGACCCCACTACCACCTTTTGACAACACTCTCATTAATTCCAAGCCTCTTAAGTAGCTCTCAGTTTTTTTAAGCACAAACTGGTACAGAGGACTGGTACAGAATACCATTCTTATTTATTTCTCTTTTTTATCAGAAGACCCTGTTCTTAACTCAGTCCATAATCCTCATGCATGCAGCAAAATCGATCAGGGTAAGGAGTGAGAGGTAGGCATGTTGGATGTGTTCAGTACAATAGCTACGACTTCTTAACTAATGTCTTAGCTAATGTATGAAATGTTTTTTCTTTTCTGAAAGCATCCCTCAACCAGGGAATTGCCAAACCTCTTTGGCTTCTCCCTCTGGATTCTAAGTGGATGTTTCTTACATTTTTGCTTTAGAGATACCCACAGCTATGAGAATGATGGCTGGGGCATACTTTTAAAAATGCCACAGGCTGTTATCCTAAATTAAAGCTTCTTTTATTCCAAACATGATAGGCATTTCTCCAAGAAACAGATGAAAGAAGAGTATATACTTCTTACATTTTTTTCCTATCCTCACCATCTAGTAGCGGACTTAGAAATGTTTGAGAAAACCTGAGATGTTTGCACTTAAGTAGAAATAAGTAGAAATAAGTAGAAATAAGTGCATAGGCTTAAACAAAAATAGATTAGCCATAGAATTCAAATGTAGACCATCTGAGCTACTGACTTCTCTCTAAAGAGCGTAAGGGATGCCTTTCTGCAATGCAGGGAGGAAAAGAACGTTAAGAAGAAACTGGACTCATCAAAGGTGTTCACAGAAAATAAAGATTCCATGAAGAAAATTTAAAAAAAGAAAAGAAGGATTCCAAAGAACAATGCACCAGTCAAGTTTTCTTTCCAGATGCCACTCCCAAAGCACCAACAGAGCAAACTCTTCATTATACATTTTCATAAACACAGAAAAATCACCCAACTGGAACCTCTAGGAATCCTTAACACAAAAACCATATCTCAGGACTTTTTTAAAATTTCACTTTTTAAATATTTTGGCCTTTTGGGCAACCTGACAAGTTAACATTTTTCTTCCAATTTCTGAAACTCAGGTGCAGATTTGGCAGATTTTCATGCTCTGGGGGTAAAAAAACATTACTGTGTGGAAAGAGATGTGGCCATGTCTAAAAACAGTCTCTCCTATTCTTTGGAATGGCTTCACTAGCTCATCTAACTCAGGACTGCTGACCACCATCCTTCTTACTTGTGCTTGTAGAATGCTGGGTCTCCTCTTCGTCATGCTGTTCACGGTGAATGAGAGGAGGCTGTGGCTCCTGGGTCCACTTTTCGCCATAATCACTGGTGCCATTTCTGTCCACATCTGTTGTGATGATGGTTACATGCACTGTGACTTTTTATCAATCAACCTTTGATGGTTCTGCTCTCCCATTAAAGTACATGATATTTAACAGCTCAGTGCCAGAGCATCTACTATCAACACTTTCGACTGTCTTTACTAATCTCTCCCAAGAAAAAAAACAATGGGCAAGGAATTTCTTAACAATGACCTGTTATTCCACTATCACCACTTTCTCAACAGCCATAAACCATCCATCCTATTGTATTCAAAACAGAGCGACATAACATATCTTGTGCCCAGATGGTATGATTGATAAATGACCCCTAAGTTGAACCGAGTATCATCATGAAAGTTCTCTAGGAATTTTTGATGAGATATTAACTAAATTTCCTGTGTGTCCCAACCATTGACCTTTGCAGCCTCATAGTTTGAGAAAGAAACTCTTTAAGAATGCATATCCCATTACCAGTCATCCTTGGGGTTGTCTGAAGTAATACTTCCGGATTGAAAAAGCCTGGGCTCCACTCGTTCCGATCCTGGGTCTGTGTTGGGATGTTAGAAACCCGTGGTGTGGTTGCAACTGTGATAACGATGATTGAAGTTATTAGGAAAATGGTATTTCTTCAGCCTTCACCACCTGTTTTGCACTTTGTCCCCTTCTTTGGTCTATATAGTGAGTCATCTACACCAGGTTGTATAGATGGTTGAGTGGAAATGGAAAGAAAGCAGAGAATGCCTTCAGCTCAATTCAGCCATATGGTTAAGCATCCCAGTGTCCTTTGTATTCTGTCAAAGAATACGTTGGGGTTAGAACATGAGATCTTCTGAAGGAAGGAGCCAAAGAAGTTGTAGCAGGAGGAAGAACACTTTTGAAAACACCAGCCCTCCACCAAGGAGAACCAAAGACAGCAGAGCGTTGCCCATCCATGCAGCCAATATTGGCTCTTTGCACTTGAAAGTCCAGGGAATTTGTATCAGTGGCAAGTGTGCTACATGTTGATCCTCAGGATGGAGAGGTACATAAAGTTACCTCATGATGATCACTTCATTTCATTAGTAGTTTTGGTGGGGAAAGAGATACTCAGGACATCCACAGCTTTCCTACTGGTGATTCTAAGAAAGAGTATCTCCCTATGACCACCACATGATTTGCTGATACATTTCTGCAAATACCAATCAAGTACAAAGCATTCCACAAGCAAGCCATTCATAGCCGATGAGAGAAAAACAAGATGCACAGATTCAATAGAGAAACACCATAGGGAACCGACCACCATCACAGCAGATATCCAAGAAAGACAAGAGGCATACTGTCACCCAAATGACAGGGCTGGAATAGGAAGTATACCCAACAGTAAGATCATGACAAAATCAGAATCAATGTCTTTTGTGGAAAGGTTATATGCAAATCCATCCTAATTCTTTCAAACTTCATTTTGATACGTAATTAATACAACACTCTTTTCAGAACTATGCAACTATCAGCTCTATTTCACAAGTTAAGAAAAATCAAGTTTAGAATCATTGACCACATTTGCAATAAGCACAGACAAAGTGGCAGTTTTCATACCCTTAACAGAAGAAAGAGGGCATCCTGTGCTTAACAGAAGCACAGACAAAGTGGCAGTTTTCATACCCTTAACAGAAGAAAGGGTATTATGCGCCAAGCACAAAAGTGAACTGAAATGGGAAAATATGCCACGGAAATAAAAATTACCAAGGGAAGCTTCCTCCTAGAGTGTGATCACACAATTTATTTTCAGGTTGATCTGTTTGGATTGCCACCCAAGAGAGTTTAGTTTCTCAAGTATCAAGACAACATCTTTATTGGTGGCCTCACCTGCAAGATGGGGCCATATCCTAAACCCAGGAGACAGTGTAATAATAGAGCTCTAGTGTTTTGGTTATTTGCTTTCATCCTGAAGTTGTTAAAAAGAGTTTCCTTGTTCCACAGAGTAAGCTCTGAGGTGTCCAGGCTAAAATGCATACCATTTAACAGCTCACACACAATGCATCTGGTGCATCTCAAGTTTTTATTCTGTCAGTACCATATATAGTTAGATGCCTTCAAGGCCTAAGCTACTTTTTGGATCCCTTCCTCCCTGGATGCTGTCCATTTGGGGATGACAATTTTAGGTTAGGAGGGACAGAACTTCGGTGACCTAAGAGAGCTCATGTAACAAGCCAACGTGACACCTTCTCTAAGGAAAAGCGGAGCTGTTATGGAATCAGGTTCGGGATTCTCATCACCATTCAGCAATATCTTAGGTCATTACAGGTGTGAATAGGAAACTCAGTCATCAGATGGGATGTTAGACCCATCACTGCATTTTTAAAGGACATTTTTTTCAGCTCAATTTCCATTTCTGTTCTCAACAAGTTTTACAATTGTCATGAATTTGGATACTATTGTGCAGTGGCTTTACTGCTTGTTTTTAATATTTGCACTGTTTTGCTAAAGCTCGGCTGATATTTGCACTTTGCTCCAATGTCTTTGTGTTATATTGGTGCTCAATTTGTTAAAACTCTGAATTTGTTCCCTTAACTTCAACCAGGGCCTTCTAAGTCTTCAATTTAGAATCATCTACTACTTTCAATTAATATCCTCTCAGTCACATTCTCAAGTCCATTGCTATTATAGACTATGAGCTTTTTGAAGGCGAGAGCTCTGGCTTCTTTCGTCTTTGTGTTCCCTGCACCTAGTGCAGTAACTACACGATGAATATTTGTAGTTAATTTTACTACACCATTGACAAAGTTCAATGGTCCAAAGAGAATCTGTAGCAGCAGAGCACAGGAAGAACATGAGGCATTAAGAATTTTATAAAGCATGTTTTTCCCATTTCTCTCTAAATATGTTTTGGCTTCCATTAAATAATTATTTCTTCCTTTAGAATCTAATCAAGGTATAACTAAGGTATGATCGAAGGCTTATGCTCATTTTTCATATTAACTATTTCTCAAGAGAAATACTATCGGGCATCACTCTGATAAGCCTTGCATAAATAGTTCTACTGTAATTGATTATTCTTACTGGTACTGGAGATAAAATCTTCATCATCATCAATGCCTGATCCAGAATGACTGGGGTTTTTGTCTCTTTCATCTTCATTTTCTTCAACTGGCTCCCAGCCTGCTGAGGTGGTATTTGAATCCGTACCTGTTGTGGTGACTTGCATTAGTAGCTGAGCTGGATGCCAAGTAACCCATTTGACAAAGGAAGAAAATCAGACTCAGAGTATATAATGGAATTACCATAATTATAAGAAAAAGTGAAACATTTGATATGTATAACCACAAATTCTTTTTTTATTTTTATTTGACAGATAGATAGATAGATAGATAGATATAGATTTGTTGTTGCATTAGGGATCAAACCCATAACCTTCATGTATGGGAATAATGCTCTAATCAACTGAGCCACCCAGCCAGGGCCTATCCCAAATTCTTATATCTTAGTTTCTGAAGCTAATCTTTAGATCTAAAAACAATTGGCTATGATTTTACAACTGAATAGTCTCTTTAAGAAAATTAAAGAATAATTATAGACACAACCCAGCCAGAAAGGTAAAAGAAAAAAAGGCCAATAAACACTCCCTCATGCTTTTAGATACATTCATTAACTTATTAACCATACGTCATTAAAGGTAGGGCATCCAGCAACGTGTAGAGAAGTTTCACATGTGCCTACTTGCTTTGTCAAGTTACTTTCAAAAAAACCTTGGAATCTAAACACATGTTAGTCATCTCTAAAATATAGCTGTATTCATAATTTGCTGATTCATTTATTATCTTCTCTAGCATCAGACCACTGTACTGTAAATGCAAATGAAACCTACACTGCATTTCCCAACAATACTTCAGCATACAGCAAAGGAAAAAATGTCAATTAACAGATAAGTCTTTCCTGTCACTTATTAGTCACCCTTTTGGCTGACTAAAATGGACTGTAGCCAGGATTTGGAGCAATTCTCACTTTTCTGCTTTTGGAAGCAATTGCAGGAAAGAAGACAACCCTGCGCCACTTTTCCCTGGTCACCGTAGAAGATGTCTCTTTACCGCAAAGGGGTTTCCTACATTTTGAATCATATTCACACTATCTTTTGGAGTGACCATTTCTCTTCTCATACTGTTATTATCTACCCCAAGAATAGTTCCACTGATTGAGATTTTTCTATATTTTGTTAGCTCTAAGTATGCAATTGTATTTTCTCCTGAGAAGTCAAAAATTTCAAGTGACTTTGGCCATTGTAGAATATCTTTCAGAGCCAAAATTTTGTTCTGTCATCAAGAAAGACCTGGCCCATTTTCACGGTCCCCTTATTAGGCTCTTCTTGGGCTATATTAATTCTGTAGAGTAGAAAGAAGAAATCTGCTTAACAGTACTATAAAATCAAACATACAGATCGCAGGCCTCATGATCCTTCTGAAGTCATCGAAAACATTTGTGAGACCAGAATGGACTTTATGTCAATGAGAATTATTGAAGACTGTCAAGAAAACAGATGAAATGAAATAATAACAACTCATCACCAGCCATTACTATTGTGTGAAGATGGTCCTTGGATTCTGGTGGTTGAAACAACCATGAAAACCAATCCTGAACTCCTCGCCTCTTGGTTACCGTTTTTGGAAGTGTATCACTAGTGCTCATCAAAGCCGCAAGCATAATTGAATCAATTGTTAATGATCAGTTCCTAAAAAATAGCATTGTGTATGCATTTATTCTTTTTTCTACTCAAGAGAATCATCAATACTTGATATATGGTGGAAAGAAAGGGAGAAAACACAGAAGCTCCATTTCTTTCAGAGGCCCAAACTGTAGTTCATAGAATGTCAGAGATGCAAGGACCTGAAATATCAGGATTCACGCTGTTCATCTCAAAGATGAAAGCGCTGTACAGCACAGGTCTTGGCCTGTCTGAAGTCAGGAGGCTAACCATCAGAGAGCTCTCAAGAGGAACATGATAGCTGTTTTTGCATTTTGAAAGGCAATAATGTAAAAGAGGAACTAAAATTTTGCCTATGTTCCCAAAAGGCTAAATTGGGACCTGCACTGGGACTTGTGGAGATGGCCATTCTTTCAAATGTTGAATTAAAAGAGTTAATAATCTGAATTATTCAATAATGAGCTTCTCCATAAAGTATTATATACCCCACCATCAGAAAGACCACTTAGCAGGAAAGTCATGTAAGTGATTAAATGATTTAGAAAGTATTGATTGAACTAGGCCTTTTGAGATTTCTCCAAATCTGAGAGCCTATGAGTCTTAAACCCCGCTCTTCAGAGTCTTAGCCCTTCATCCTCTACACATTCAATGTTGGCCAACCAATATCCTATATATATCCTATATCCTAACTCCAAGAAGTTAGGATATAGTATTTCTGCGAGCAATCCTAAACACATAACCCCAGCAATCCCAGATACACAGAAGGATGACATCTGAAGTGAAAAATGAAAAAAAAAGCCTTTCTGTTTTTATTGTTTTCCATTTAGAATCCAGATGCTCTAGCAACCTTGCCTGTGGTCACTGTTTATAACACTTTGCAAAAACAGATCAGGGTACCTTGAGTTGCAGCTTTTGAAAAGAGGAAAATCAATCGAGGAAAGACAGACAGAGATGAAGTGACCCAATGACTTCAGTAATAAGACTCCTCAGAAAGAGTCCTGATATGCCATTTCCGTAACCATGGAGTGCTTCAGAAAAATATTAAATAGCAGATGGAAAACCAAAAAAAAAGTTCAAGCAGAGACACTGAAACCATCATTAAATTCCTAAATACAAAAGTAAGGTGAACTAGATTCCCTCTTTCAGCCATCAAGAAAGCCCAGAAACACAAACAGGACCGTCCCCTTCACAATGTTTGTCCTGCAAAGATAAACATTTTAAACATTTAAAACTAGCATACCCCTCCCTCCCTCCAGCATTATCTTAGTCACTGTGATACGCAATCATAACATTGACACTGTTTTCCTTCCTTGAGCATTTGTCGAAATAAAGAATATTCAACATGTTACAAGCTAAGCACATGTAAAGAATCATTTTTATTGCTCTCCTACAGAAAGAACACTATAGCTTATTATTTTAAAATGTGATTATATCCTCCATCAATGAAAGTTCATCAATGAAGATATGCTTATAATCTCCCGTTATTACAGATTTTGAATCTTCTCCCATAAAAGCTCGCAAGTCAACATGCTCGGCAGGTGCTTGGGGTTAATAGTCAAACATCCAGGGAGCTTGTTAGAGGCCTGGATTCTGGCGGGAAGCAACAGGTCACTTCCTACACTTGCAGTGGAGGTTGTAGGTGTCCAAACAAGTGTCCAGGGCCTACACTTTCCACCTGTCAATCAGTACTCCCCTCTATTATTATTGACTGTAATAAGCAGCAGAGAGTGGGAATGTGCATTTTCTAACAGACCTTTTACTAGAGTACTTGTTTTGAAAGAGGCTCTTAATAGACACCCCTATAGAAAGAAAAAATAATTCCAATTATTTGGCATGTCGCCCAAACGAAAACAAGTAGAACACTTAGGAGGATCCAGACATGTCCCAGATCCATAGGGCTCGCTGATACATGAGATGGTATCAAACCCTGTGCTCCCAACAATCATGATGGAGCATCAGCAGAAAATGGTAACAGATGGCCTTCTCGGGTCCTTTTCCTCAGCACTGGCAGACTTGGTGTTCAGGACAAAAAATTAGCAGAAGACGTAACAGTGCACCTGTCGTTGCTGTTGTTCCATCCTGAGCCTTAGGCTGTGAATGATCAAACCAGGACCGTATCCCATCAACTGGCTCCTGAGCTGCTGCCTGGCTGTGGGAGCGCACAGCTGAAGTAACTGAATCAATTATGCAAATGTGCATTTAGTGAGGTCTTTCTACAAAACCTTTACCCTCAGATCTGTCTATAGGTAATGTCTGGATCTAGTATAGGGTAAAGATTAGAAAAAAAAGGAGAGAGGCCTGATTTTATCTTTCCACTCTCCTGAAGTCTCCTGCGATCTCAGGATAACACCAGAAATAGGTGCTGAGGTGATGCTCCTCCTTCTTCAAACGGAATCCCCTGCATACAGGCTCAGGGCAAAATCAAGGAACAACTTAATATTCTGTGATGGAAAGAGATGTTTCATTAACTTGATTGGGTGACTCAGCCACGATGTGAAGGTCTTTAATGCAGAATTTCATAACATTGCTTTCATGCATCTTCTTTTGGAGTGTCTTTAGAGGTGCTTGCCTGTATCTTTTGGGTCTATCATTTCCTCCAGTAACTGTGATGGCACCTGACATTTGAAAGCTCTGCTGACACTCATAAACCGCAAGTTAAGCTTTATACTGTGTGTAAGTCAAGCAAGAACTTTGTAAAGGGAGTGTGTTCAGCGTGGTGATATCGGATTTCAAGCATTCACCCATCACTTCCTGTAACTCTTCATTCTAATTCAGAATGCACAGTGTTTCCAGAAAAAAAAAACCACAACTCTCTTGGTAGAGAAACTCTGGACTCTGTTCAAATTAGAGGAAGAATAATTGGTAATATTTTTACACACTGAAATCTCTTATTTGACTCCCAATTTGGACTGAGTCCAAAACGTTTTCCCATAGAACAAAAATGGCAAAGATCACCCGGATAAACATCTAAACCACTTGTGATTTTTAAAAATCATTTTGAGTCACACACCCCTTTGGGAAATGTGATATGAGCTATGGCTTCTTTCCTGAAAAAAAAAAAAAAACAAACAAAAAACAATTGATCCTACATGTACACATTCTCAAAATTTTGCATATTATTTCAGGTGCTCTTGTATACCTTCTGGTCTATTATTGAACCTCTTGGAAGTTCATGAACTCCAGGTTAAAAACTTGGACTCTGTACACACCAAATGTCAACCATCTGCACAATAGATTCATACTGCAAAGGACACATTTGTTCAGAATAAAGAGTACAGAGATAGGAGCCAATTTCACCAATGATACCCTGAAATAAACCTGAGCATTCCCTGGAAAATTCTCAGACATCCCATTCTTACCTCAGAAACTTGTTAAAGATGCATAACTCAGGCTACCCTCACCCAATAGTACAGCAGGAGAGACCAACAGCAAGTATATATATATATATATATATATATATATATATATATATATAGGAACAATGTAGAAATTGGCATTATTTCTGACTTCCTGAAGAGATTTGGGGAAAAGGAAAAAGCTAATGCCTAGGCAGCAGAGTTTCCAATTTCCCCACCCAAGTAAGCCATATATATATATAGGATATATATATATATATTTGTATGTGTGTGCATACATATATACACATGTATGCACACACGCACATATTGCTTTGACACCCAGAAGACAAGGAAATAGAGTTCTCCCAAGCAGGAGTCTGCTTCATGAATTAGTTTAGGTTTTTGGATCCCAAAGAATTCCAGATCACCAGTAGAAAGGAAGCCGATGACCTACCTCCAGGAGGGCTCGTCCAAAAACAACACTTACTATAAAGAGTTCACTGGAAATCGAAAGCTACCCAGATGGTTGTTCTTGTTGGTTTTCCTTATTGCCACCCACTGAGGACCCTTAAAGAAGGAATGAGCCAGCCAAGCCAAAGAGTGATTGTAGGTACTCAGCCAGCCCTCCTCTTGACCTCTGCCCGCCTGCTTGCAGTCACTCCCTCTCACTCATTTCCAGATCTCAGTCTAACAGTCATGAAGTTGTAAGACTCTGCTCAGTGGACTTAGAACATACGGTCTATTCAGGAACTTAACAGTGTTCACTTTTCCTAGTGGGCCATGTGCCACTTGCAAGTGTCCTGCTGACTGTTTTGACACTCCTCATTGCATGCACTGATTTACTGAAGCCGCCATTGGCCTAATTGGGACCTACAGCACTCCAATAACTCTCGGATTAGCCTCGGACCCACTCTGGTGGACAAATGAGTACCTTTCTTCCATAAGTACTAAAAAATCTTAGCTAAGTGCCTTGGAAAGAGAAAAGCATGATTCCTTTCCCAACCCAAACCCTGAACTAGGTTTCGGTGAAATCCCACAGCACACTCCTTTCTTGATTTCTGAACAGTGTATAAGCTCCATGAAAGTAGGTCCAACTCTGAGTCCCCAGGAACGAGAGCAACGCCCGGCACTGAGGAGATCGCATATATTGGTTGAACTTGAATGAGTGACTCACTTAGTAATCCTTACCTCTCTTCTATTATCCCTCTCTAATGATGTTCACTACTGTATTGTTAGCATTAGAATAGACCTAGTACAGAGTAGGTCTTCAAATTTTGTTTGCTGGCTAACTAACAGGAAGGAAAAATGCAGTCCTTAAAAGATGTGCTATGAATCGTTCAGACAATATGCTAATTGACTTTCTTAAGGCACATGTGAAATACTCACTTGTTAGCAGAGGCATTTATCAGGATTTTCTACTTTAGGGGGAAATGGTATTTTAACATAGCCCTGACTTGCATCCTGCCGAGACCAGAATTGTTGTCTGCAGGTATCTGACAAAACTGAAGGCCCTGATGACCAGCACCTTCAACAGGTCTGCTTTTAAAGGGTGGAGAAATGGACATGTAACAAGGAGCCAGCAGCACAGGCCAGTTTGCAGAGGCTTCTCTCCAGAAAGGTTGTCCGAGGGATGACAAACAATGAAAGTGACAAACAGTTGGCTCTGGAGAGCTGATAATCTGGGACAGCATGGGCAATTGGAAAGAATCTGCTTTTTGAAACGCTCCAAAGAATCTGCAGAGGATGACCAGAACCCCAAACCTACTTGTACCACTACGAGCAAGCTGCTAATAGAAGTTCAAGGCATGGTCAAGCAAGTAACTGTACTCACTCATGCCCTGGAGGAGTTCCTGGCTTCTGGGTGATGAGGGAGAGAAAAGGTTCCTGCCTTGAGCATTCACAAACCAGTAAATTTCTACCACACTCTTTGGGGAGCAGAGCCCACCCCTCCAGAGCGGTAGCCAGAAAAGGAGCAAGCCCACACCAAACGAGGAAAGCTGCTCAAGAGGCCGATGCCCTAGTTGAGTTTAAATAATCCTCCACAGCAGGAATACAGCCAATCTGAAAACATGGTTTAAAACAAACCACGGGGCAGGGAAAGCAATGAGGGAAGTGAAGAAGGAGATGAGAGGGAGATGTAAACACTTTCCAATGAAGCAAAGCACAAGGGGCCCATACCCAGAGAAATCTAAGGCCACATTTACATAATTCCACTCTCGCAGTGCCAAGGTCATGAATGACCCACACAAACCAAGCAAGTGCTGAGAGCCTTCCCCTACAGGCTGGCACAGAAAACTCTTAAGCAGATTTAATTCGATCAGAAAACTCTTTCAGCTGTGTTTCCTTGGACCAAAGACAAAGGAACTGTTCAGTCAATCATGGGCGACGAAGAAGACTAAATATCACACAATCAATAACGTGAGTATAAATCAGGTTAAAATATAAAAACATAAAGTTAAGTGAAACATAAAGGAGCCGATGGAACGGTACACAGCTGCTGGGACCTCCAACTTATGAGAACGGTGCTATCCAGAGGTGGATGAGCACCAGAAGGAAACGTGCAGAGATGGACACAACTTCTGTGCTGGGTGTGAATTCTCACCACACCCCTGGGACCGGAGAACAAGGGAAGTTCTGAAACACCTCTCGTGTGGCACTTCCTATGCCAAGGTAAGAGAAACAGAGTTGCAGATTAAAAACAAACCCTTGGCAGTAGCAGTCCTGTGTGCATGGCACCGACTGCTGCTGTGGCCACCTCCCCAATGACATCACCAACCTTGAGAGAAGAGACAAACGACATAGGAGTGCCTATCTCTCAAGAACAGAGATGTTCTGGCGGGCGAATCGCTATTGGAAAGCACGGCGATCCATTCTCCTTACTGGTAACAGAGGTATCCTCTGGGTAGCTGGGCACCGAGGGACGGTCTCCGCCTTGGGTCGGGTATTCGGTTGGAAGTTGGGTGTGGAAGATGGTGTAACTTGTTGGAGTGTTTCTTTCACTGGGGGACACACCACTGATATCATCATCAGTAGTGGTGGCATTGATGTCGTCAGGGTTAGTTCTGTATTCGCCTCTCTTGGTGTAGCGGGTACCGTCACGGTTAACGATAGCTGGGAGAGAGAGAGAAGGCATTTTCAGAACTTGACAGCTCACGTTCTCCGAGTATAGAAAAGACTCGGAATTAATGTGTAAGATGGTGACTATAACGCTGTTTTTCCTTTTTATTATGAAGAGCAACTCCTAACTACCTATCTAGTTGGGGGTGTTTATAGCTGAAACATTGAGAAAAATGTACCCTCCCCTGCCCACTCACACACCTTGGAAATGGGGATGGAGCCAGAGGGTGTGTTTGGGAGTCCCTGTGTTTGAATTCCAGTTTTCTATGGCTCTAGACAAGGTAGGTAACTCTCCAAGCTTTCACTTTGTCATTTGTAAAATAGGGATAATACTCCCTTCTGTTATGAGGACAATATAATATTGTATGTAAGTGTTCAGCACGGTATTCAAAGTATAGCTGGTGCTCAATAAATGGTAAATCTCCTGGCTTGTCCCTACTTTCCCTTCTCAAGAACATGTAAACTTTGTGTTATTAATTCTACCCATTTCAGGAAAGGATATGAAGTAGGAGACAGAGAGGTTATTAGCATCGGCTGGGAATACATGTTTGCAAACTCACGAAGAATTACATTTTCTTTCTAAGGGCCAAATTTTGTCAGTTTAAGTGAACCCCAACTCCTGGCTTAATAATTAGCACGCTTGGATATTGAGAGAGCCTCCACCCTCTGTGGAATTCACCCTTAAAATTAAGAAGCACAAATGTATATTAAGAGCAAAATCTCTTGATTTCACCAAGAAAATGACTAGAATGCACAGGAGGAGTAAAAGCAAGGATGAATTCATCCACTGTTTCTCCCTAAAAGTATTTTCTGCCTTCAGGTCTGGGCCACTCAGTGCCTAACTGAGCATTTACCTGAAATTATTGTCTGCTGTACTGCATTGGTGGGACTAAAGATTCCTTTTGCCCATCTAGCTTGCCCACGTGGAACTATTCAGAAAACATAAATTTAAAAATATGCCGAAGTCTCAATCACCCTGCTAACCTCTGCAGATGAGGATCTGATAAGGAAATACGTCCAAACCCGTACAGGTCTGGACTACAAAAGAGATCTGTGGGGACCAAGGAAGTGGGACACTTGTTGAGCATCTACTGTGGGCCCGGCATGCATTAGACACAGTATCTTTCTTCATTCTCTTGGGAAAATCTCATATGTTGGCCCATTACCCAGGTTTGAAAACAGAGGCTCAGAAAGAACGAATCATTCCTCTAAGCTCAGCCCAGGTGGAAAGGAGCTAGGATTTCACACCAGGCCTGACTGAGATGGCACCTGTCGCATTGCAGGCCTCTGTTTCCTTTTGCAAGGCACAGGCCAGGGACAATCCTCTCCATTACAGTGTGTGTTGGGGGGGTGGGGCTGGACTTGTGTGTTCCGGGGAGGTTCTCGTCTCCCTGTTCTAGTCGCCACTGTTCCCTGGGCACTCCGAGGGGTCCGGCTCTTAGCAGGCAGACATCCGACCTTCCCAACACTGTGCTACTTCTCAAAGAAATGAAGTTCAGAGGCAGTGAGATCAGAATCAATAAGCTGACTTTATCTGAAAACTTGGGTTGAGATATTCTGTTTTCTACACTGCCAGATGCCTACTTCCGGGGATCATTTTCGGTGGGCTGGTATAAATAATGTTGAATCACCTATGGGGAAGTTTATACCCTTTATAATTGTTTTTCAACACTCCAGTTAAATCAAACGTAAAACCTGGGCAACAGAAGGCCCCTGCCCCGCCACCTGTTAATCCTCCTCTGTGAGGCAGAACACAGATCAGAGCCTCCGGCTGCCAGAATTTAGGAACATTTTCATTTTCCCTACATTTACATTCACTTTTAAGGTTACTTTCTATTTATGACCAGGGATGTTGACATTTTATTTGCAGCTTTAAAAAAATAAATGTATTTTAGGTACAAAAGAATAGGTCAATTAAATGTAACATATGGATAACAGGGCTGTGGACATGGAAATGCCACATAGAGTGAGAGTGCTTTTCAAATGACTGAAGTTTGAGGAACAGGCGTGGGGGCAAACCCGGCAGCATTTTAAGCCACTGCAGGAAAAGAGGAAGGGACGCTGCATCATAGCCGATGTGCCTCCCCGTAGTGAAAGGACTGCCGGTCTAGGCCAATGTGAAACATGGAACAGGCACCTGGTCCCTCTCCCAAGAACAGAAAAACTCAATCAAAGTTAGAAAAGATACATACTTATGGTAATTGGTCCTTCAAAGGCATTCGGCAGGTCTGTGATTGATGTGCAATCTTCCCCTTGTGGTGCTGTAAGGTAGAAAAGAAAAAAGGCATGAGAACTCCAAATAATATGAGCAAAATTGATGACCATTTCTATTACTAAATTAGAATGAAGGTTTATTATAACTCATCCCAAATAATTTTCTTTTTCTGAACCTTGGTTAAGTCTCCTAGGAACTTTTCTGGTCTTTGTAACACAGTTTCCATTTTTATTTAGCTTCATACATTTTTTGGAAGCTCATGTGTTCCTCTTCCCACACCAGCAAATTCATTCATCAACAAATACCTGTGTTCTATATCAGGCATCGTGGAAGGCACACTGAGGGTACGACAATGAATAAGATAGATATAGTCCTTCTCTAACAAAGCACACATTAGAAATTTATTTTTTAATATGTTATTATAAAAGTAATCTGGGAACTCTGAAAAAAATTTAAAGACATGTATAACTACCATAAGAAAAATCATGTATAATCTCAGTAATCTACAGAAATAATTAAAAAACATGGCAGAAAAATACAAGTGAATGTGTATCAACATGAACAATATGAGAATCTCAAGATTAAAATAACCAACAAAATTTAGTTGATAGAAATATTTAAAGACAGACTAGGCTTCAATCTTTCATTAATGTATTAATTTTTTTTTATTAACTTGACTTCTCAACATAAAGTCTGCCTTTGGTCTAGGTGACCAGAGTATTTCCTGAGGCTGCTGTTGTGGCATATCTCACTGTGGGTATCTCTTGCTTCTTTTTCTTTTGTCCTCCATTTATCATCCACACCCTCCCCAGACCCTTGGGAATTAAGATTTCTGACCAGGCCTTGGGCCTGCTTGGATACCCGAGATGTTAACAGTAGCTCTCTGAGAAATGCCATGTGAAACCCTGTGGAAAAAGGCTCTGGAAGTTCTACCTCATATGCCATCCTGAGTCCTAAAAGAAGATGGCAGATTGCCTTAACCAGCTGTTCCACTCATGTCCAGGTGCTCTATTCAGTACCCAGACCTGTGATGAGCTCTAAAATCTCCATAAGATTTAAATTGGCTTTCCAATTATAGGAAGGATAGATCTAATCGTGCATGACAACTTTTTATCCTGTGTGCATGTGAATATGCTCACCTAAATGTAAAATGGCAACTTATTGCTTAGATTGGTTTCTCCCAGAGCTGCTTGTTGGCAAAGAGCAAGGAAGAAAGAAAGGGGTGGATGGATGGGTGGATGGATGGAGGCAGGCAGGCAGAATGCTATCTATCACAAGGAAGGCTATTATCCCAAGTATTCTAAGTGTCCTGGCATAAACCATTGGGTGCTCGTAACATTGTACAGAAACACAAGTTGAACAAAACAGGGTTTGATTGCTTCCTAGTTCCTAGGAGCATCTTTTCCAACAGATAAACAGGATGCTTTTTACCTGCCTATTTCTTTGGCCTTGGAGTGAAACTAAACAGCAGCTTTATATTCCAACTAGAGAAAAAGCAAGTTTTAGGAAAAGCTATTCTTGCAAAAGCTGATTAAATGATTCCACAGAAGAGAAACTCTAAAGATAAAGAGAAAGCCGCCTCTTTGGGAAAGCCGTTTCTCACCATCCGATCGAAACCAGCCCCTCGCCACCCCCCATTCCGGTCACCATTCTGCCTCAGGCTTACCACTATCTAAAATTATCCTGTTCGTTGTACTTAACGGCTGTTCATGGCACATCTCCCAACCCCTACCATCTGCTCTGCACCCACCTCCGTAGAAATATTTAAGCTCCAGAAGATGAGTAGGAACCTCATCTGTCATGGCCAGAACATTTATGTGTTGATGGGGACAGAGAGGTACTCAGTAAATATTGTTGAATGAATGAAAAAGGGAAAAAAGTTCATTCTTCTAGTAAACACACCAAGATGTTAATCCTCAAAATGGTCTGTATATACAAACAAGTCAAAAAACATTTAGATAAAACCTGAGTGGCAATACCATAGAAATGATTAAAGAGTTACAGACCTACCAGTTCATTTATTCACTTTAAGCAATTACTCAACACATATGACAGACCACACAATTTTTAAAAAGAGAAAAAAATAAATAAATAAACATGTTCTTGTCCCTGCTTTTGAGGAATTCACAAGGTCATGGAAGGCAGTAATAATGAATACTTCTTCAGATTTTTAGAGTTTTCCAAGTATTTTTTTCCAACGAATCCCTCACTTCAAAATCAGGACAAAAGGCCACACCGGGCAATCGAAGAGCCTCTCCCCAGCCTGCTGTGGGGGCCCCGCCAGAAGCTGGCCTGACCTGTGACGCGCCGCCGACGCTGTCACACTGCCCAGACCCAGAGACACTCCTCAGATATGGCTTCTCATGGCAGGAATGGAAGACAGTTCCCCAAATTCAAAAATGACTGCACACAACAGCAGAGTGCACTGGGAATTTCTAGGAGATGCATTATAACAGAGGGGGCATGGTGTCAAAAACACTAAGACAGTTTTGTGAATGATGAGAGCATTTGTTCCCAGGGACACCCTTCATGCTCCAATTCGCCTTCTTATGAAAAGCACATCAAAGCTGGCAAGCCTACTAAGATGGATGGTGACCCAAATGTGCAATTACTACACTCACGCTCCCAAGTCAGATAGCAGGGCCTCGTTAGGCGGCCCTTCATTCTGTTTAATGAGCACTGTGTTGCTGAAAGAATCAGGCCTGGTGTGCTTTTCCTGAACCTAAAGATTTGTTAGAAAGACCCCGAGGTGAGCTTCCTGGTGGGCTGCATCTCAAAACCTCGCCTCCACTGCACTAAAAAGCTAAGAGAAATGTTCATTATTCAGTCTAGCCGATCGCTCGGTGCCACATGGTCACCTTCCTCAATGCCTGATACATTCTGGGTATCCAATAACTATTTGTTCAGTAAATGAGTAAATGAATAAACAAATAAATGTAGAATCTGCCCTAAATCTCTCCTTCAAAAGAGAATGAGGCATTTCATTCAAAGCCAATTTTAAAAATGAACAAATTCAATTCAGCCCTCCGTGTGGTTAACACAAGAGTCACCAGCCTCACACTGGGCCTTATCGCTGACAGCTGAAGCAAGGAAAAAAACCACAAAGCCTTCTCAGGGTCTGCCTGATTTTCATTTGCAAGCCACAGGCTGTGTTTTATACAAGCGTTGCTGAATCGTAAACAGGCAGAAGCTATCTGCTGGGATGGAGCTGGCTGTGGTCCCTGGACCCAGTTCGTGGGGGAATCGTACCACCGGGTCCTGCTGGTAGTTCTCAGGCTAAGTTGGATTCAAGGATCTTTCTGGTGAGATCCTTCACAGCAGAAGGTTATCAAGATCTGTAGCTTATTTAATGCCCTCTCTCTTCTGACTCTAAAGCAAGACGGTTAGAATTCATCTTTTCTTAAATAAACATTCTTCTCCAGCTTCTTAGCTTTTTATCTTGTTGCTTCAACAAGATTAACTGGCCAGATAAGAAATAGGTCCCCAGTTCTCTCACCCCATTCTGCCCTGCAGAGTACTGAGCACACACAGCTGAAAAACATACACAAGTAGCCTATCCCTACTGAATAAATTTTGAAAAAGGAAAAAAATATATATCATTTTGAACTTCACTACTTTAATACAGCCGTTTTTCTATGCAATACACTTCTCAAACTTTTCAACTAAACTACCTCTGCCCCCTGCCCACTCCACCATCACCAAATGAAAAGGAAAGTTAATCAGTGCTGTTCACTCCTTTCTCTGAGGACAGGCCCAATGTTATGGGCAAAAATAAGGATGGGGAGAAAACTCCTAGTAGTAACTTGCCTAGATGGCTTCATTTCCAGGCAATAAAACAGTGTGAGCTTCCACCTTTTTCAAATTAAGTTTCTTTTCAGCAAGTGATAGCCGCTCGTAAATCAGGGGAGACAATGTGGATGCGCAACAACTTGTATATATTCACTGAACACCAGTCAGTGGGAGATGCAGCACCCAGAGTCCTCAAGAGTCTGCTGCCTGGTGCCATCTCTGTTCCATGTGACCAACGCCCTCCTCTAAAGCACGGTCTTCCCACATCTTCCGGGACCTCTGGCATGAAGATAAGCTAGCCAGACCACATGCAGCTCTGTGTCCATTCCTTATTTATTTCCAAGGGTTTTTTCTCACTATCATGTCATTAGAATGGACATTCTGGGTGTGGGTGTGGGACCTGGGTGTGGGCCATGCACTGTGTAGTGTCAGTTGGACTCTCCCCCTTCTGGTTAAACTCCATTCGTGTTCTTTGTTCATACAACGGGAAGGACTAAATATTCTACAGTTTTCTCCCTACTTTGAGTGTCCCTCTATAGGGCTAGTGACCTGTATATATTTTTGGTCGCTCCATTCCAACTAACCAGCCCTGATCATTGCTCCCTCTCCTTCACTCTAGTTTTCCCCTCGGAATTGTCACTGTGATCCCCACCGCTCATGCAACAGTAGGTGGGTGGAGTATCCTCACGCTGTCGATGTCATCTTACAATTTCTTTGATGTCCCTACTTTAGCTTAAAAGTCCGGGCAGATTTTATATCCTACTACCCTATATAATACCTGTGTTTGTCTCATAAAAATAGTGCCTTAAGCTATCATATAATAACATCTGTGTTCATCTCATACAGAAAATGTCTCAAGTCACTTTCTGGCTAATTCAAAGACAGGAAGGATGCCCTTCCTGTCCTTAAGGAAAACTGGTGTGCCAGGTAGAAGTGTCAAGTTTACCTTGTGGCTTTAGCTTCCTCTTCACACAATCTCAAACTTTGAGGCACAACAGAAGGCTCAGTTTGAGAAGTAAAACATTTGATTGTTGGCATTTAAATAAATTGACATTTATGGGTCTGACCTTTCTCAAAAGACCCTGAAGATTCATGATGCATAGGATTCTTTAGTTTTGCTGGGGCCTGAATTAGACCTGTAAGCATGTGTTTCTAGGCCAGTGAGTGGCTGGAAGTAAGTCCCTTAGACGGGGAGGAGGCCTGGCCAGCAGCCCAGCCTGCAGATCGTAACTTGGCTTTCTTGTTCTCTAGCTGCTGGGCTCTCCACTGTTGAGCAGGGACTCTCGACAGGGTCAAAGGCCTACCATATATCCTCCCAACTTTCTCTCAACATGTAATAAATACCTCTAAGTTAAACCGTTTGGCTTGTACCCCAATGCTATCATTAGATTCATGTCCCTCCCCTCTCCAAAACCCCGCCATGACTTCCCATCACACTGAGAACAAAATCCAAACTCTCCACTGTGGCCTCCGAATGCTTATGTGATCTGGCACCTGCTTACCTCTCTGCCTTCATTCCCTGGCTTCTTTCCTCTGAGCACTGGGCTTTATCCACCTGGGCCTCCCTGCTCTTCCCGGCACAGGCCAAGGTGCTCCCGCATGCCTGGTTTTGCACCGGCCACCCACTCTGCTCAGGACTTTCTCTCACGTTTCACTCAGGGCTCTCCTTAGCACCCCTTCTCTTTCTGTGACCACCGTCCCAGACGAAAGCATCTCCAGCACTCTGAAGCCTCTTGTCTTGCTTTCCTTTTTATAGTTACTGACTCACTCTCATATAAGGCATTTAACACTCATTGGTTTCCTGTTGGCCTCCCCAACTTAGCAGGTACGCACCCTAGAGACAGAAATCTTGTCTCTGCTGTACAGATAGTCAGTGAGCCTCTGGAAGCTACATGAAGTCTCACTGAAGCCGAAAGGGAACCGCTCGGGGCCACACTGCCACAGGCTTGCCTGCCAAAAGCCACCCAGAACACAAAGACGATTCACTGGGGACCAACCTGAAGCATTGAAACAGTACGTGTCGTACTGGGAGGTGTTGGAGGGGAGGATGTACACCCCCGTGTGGTTTGCAGCACAGATGGAGTTGGGGTGGATCCTGGGGATGACCACGTGCCCTTGTATGAACCCGTACCTGCAAAAGAAACACCAGCAGTTATCCCCCTGCAGGGTTGTGACGGGTGTGCGTCACATCCCATCCAACGACATGTCATGTCGTGCAATGCTTCGTTCCACTCACCCCGAGGGGCGTTAGAAGTTTCAACCACTGAGTCATGTGAAATCTAAAAATAACAGCAGAGGAAGAGCGAAAGGGATCAACAGTGCTGATAGACATAATTTCATGGAGGGCTCTATGAGAGCTTCTTTAAAAAAGAAAGATGCATGAAAGGAATACATTTGTTTCAAATAAACGTTGTGGTCAAGTCAGTTTGAACAAGAAGCAGGAAGCCCGAGTCACAGAAGAGGAAAGATGATCACTTTATGATGTGAGAGTCACTCCGGTTCCCCGGCACCTTCATCATTTTCACAAAGCATATAAAATGACCAGCTCCCTTGAGACAGAACTAGGTGGCCCTTCATTTCAGTCCTCAAACATCAAACTCGCCCTCTTTCCCATCCCCAAACTTCTCTCCCTGCCTCACCTTTTCCTGCAATTCCTTCATTCCAGATTCCACTACTCTAAACACGAAGCCTTGTTCACGTGCCAATACGAGAGCATTTTGCCTCCTGAGCGTCCCGGGCATCATTTCATTGCCAGTGGACATAAACTGACTGCCATTAAAACAGGAGTAATCATGATTAATAAGTTGATAGCAATGCCTCATTTCACTCCAGGATTTTCCAGAAGCAGCACAGCCAGGGAAGTACTTAAGCCCCTCGGCCCCACCAAGGTGTTTCTGGGAGTGTGTTAGAGCTGGAGGCCCTGCCAGATACAACATACAGCGCCCAGTGCCTTCTACCAGCATCATGGTGGCTGAAGATCCACTTACTGCACAATGTCTCTGGAATATAAAGGACTCAAAAAAAAGAGAGAGAGAGAGAGAGATGTAGGCTGAGAAAATACCACTTGCAAGGGATGAGGTGGTGGCAGGGGAAGGGCAGAAAGGGAGAAACTAAATCCAGCAGGTTTCTGAAAAATGCAAAGCTGGCTAAAATGCACAATCCTTTTAATCTCTCCTGCCAGGGGCAACCCTAGTGCATTGCCCTGCCAGATCCATGGAAATGGCTCTGAATGTGAAACTTCGAAGTACTAAAACTCATTAATGTCTGTGTTGCAATTGTAGCTTGCATGACTAATTCCTCATCTAAACCGACAGTCTGGTTCTTCCAAAGACTCCTTAGCTTGGTGAGGGGAGGGGTGGCAATTACGTGTTTGTAAGCACCGTATATCTGAGAATTGCTACTAATCAGGGTGAGGCAGACAGAAGAGAGTAGCTGCTAAGGTTCTATCATAGCCTGAGACTCTGCTGTCTGTCTTATGGCAGATAGCTGATTCATAGCTGCAAGTGAAATTATGGAAATGAGTTTTGCAACACTTAATACCAGCTATGGAGGCAACGGAAGGTTTCTTTGGCACAGTTCTTCTTCTCCTTTTTTTTTTATTTTAAGTAATAGTGCTCCTTGGTAGGCCTATACTCCGTCCCACCCTCACTGCATGCATCCAATCTGTATAACACTGACAATCTAGATTCTAGAATCTTCATTCCCTTAGAATCTGCATTCCCTTGGTAAGTTATTCCTGAGTTTTGCCACATCAGGTCGACAGCCAGTTTTTTGTGCCACACTGTACAGGGGTTGGGGATATTAAAATTTATTTGTGTGTGCACCACATGAATAGGCTGCCGTTCACAGGGAGAAGAGAAATACTCAGCAAATCCACATGTCATACTTGCATCTCCCTTTTGCTCTCAGTCCTTCTGGGAAGCTTGGTCATGAAAATCTTGCCCTGGGCTCAGATGAAACAGGACCTGAATGCAGACTCCTCCCCCTGCAAGCAATGTGGCCCACGGTGAGCTATGGAACTTCCCTAAACTTCACTTGCTTCATCCATAAGTGGGGTAATGTAACCGACCATGGTGCCATTTGAGGGTTAAGTAAGGGTTGTGAGCAAGTGCCCAGCAACTACATACTTGATGATTGACCAATGGAAATAGTAAGAACTTCCCTTTTCTCAGCATATGAGAAGATTCCTGTACTTTGTAAAGATGTCTTGCCTGCATTTCACAATCAAAACTCAGCTTACCAAACTCACTTTCTTACTGGATTTTTAAAAATATATTTTATTTATTTATCTACTTATTTACTTATCTATCTTGTTGTTCAAGTACAGTTACTGACCCAGTCCAGGGGATACGTAAACAATTAGCCTTGGAAACAGAACCAATGAATCTGCTAACTGTCCTTCCTTCAGGGCAGACTACAGCTCAGAGTGAGCAGCTACCAGAGCCAGCTCCCTTTCTCTGATCCCTTTATGTTCTTGCAGACATAGCTCTGAACGCATACAGATGTCTTATTCAGCTGCTGTTTGTTTTAGAGCAATGCTGTGCAACAGAACTTTCTGTTATTGTGGAAACGGTTTGTAATCGATGTTGTCCCATACAGGAGCCACTAGCCATTTGTGGCTAGTTGAAATGTAGCTACTGTGTTATTGAAGAATCAAGGTTTCAATTTCACTTAATGAAGTGTAGCTCGGCACACGTGACTAGCGGCTACCATATTATACCTCAAGGTTTCCCTTTTAGCAAGAGCCTTGGCTGCCACTCATAAAGTGGGTGCCTCACTCTCTAACCAAGGATGAGGGTTAGATGTATTTAATGTTCTTAATGATGTCATGTTACAAAAGCACAGAGAGGGTAGCATGGGCTGGGATGGAAACTTAGCAGTTGCTCAGATGACTTGGAGAGCTTCTAGTGAAAACAAACCAAACCATACACTTCATTGTGTTTGTCGTCCCTACTTGCTCTTAAAGTGCACCACTCACCCTGGGGCCATCGGAAACTCAAAAAAAAAAAAAAAAAGTCCATTGCCTGCTGTGATTGTCCTTCAGCAGAAGGGTTCTAAGAAAGCGCCACAGAGCTTGTGATATCCGATACCCACAGAAGCTCTCAGAAGGCTGTTCTGAGTCCCTCCCATCGTTTCCCAATCACCGGTGATTTATCTGAATAATTTTCATATCCACCTTTTTGGAGCCCCCTCAAACAAAAGCAACATAGAAGAGAATCAAAAAACAAGGAGACTGAGAACCAGAGAGAGAGAGAGAGAGAGAGAGAGAGAGAGAGAGAGAGAGAGAGAGTTGTTTGAAAAATACGCTTTAAGCCAAGTCTGCAGGGCCAAGACTCCCAGCACTTAGTTATTTTAAACACTGTTATTTGGCATACATTTCCTTGTGGTTCCGACAATAATATTGCACGTTTTCTTCAAAGCCAGGAGAGTGCTTTGGGGAAGCACTTCAGGCAGGAAGATTCCAGAGGCTGACCCTTAATAGCCTCCTCTGGGCAACCCTGCTATGATTCACAAGGTGTCTTGAGAAGACTAAATTTCAGCTGCCCTACAGTTTCCAGTGGACTATACCAAGTTGATAGGTGAGGCCGATAGGCAATCATCCAATCAGCTGTCAGGGAGGAGCCGTCTCAGCACTAAGCCCCGCCCCCTACCCCCTCACACCCAGCCCCTTGCCCTTGGACCCCGGCTGGTCTCTCACCTGCAAGTCTCAAACCCAGCTCTCAGGGCTTCTTCCATCTGGGCCATCGTGGGCAGGGTGCAGTTGAAAGCCTCGCAGAGGTCAGCAGCCTCTGTCCGGGAGATGCTGTAGCGACCATTTTTCTCTACGTGGAATACACCTGAGTATCGGCAGGTTACATTCAGATCTGTGGGATGGAAGAGAAATGTTAAGATTCTTTTGCATAAATAATCTGGAAGGGATAAGAAGTTTGTTTTTGAGCAGTCTCATTAAAAAGCCAAATAAAGTTCTCTACTGGCCAGAGCCTTCCATAATTACTCCAACATTCCAAAGCACCATTACTGTAAACTCAAACCTAGGATGAGACACAGCCAGGTCGCCTCACTCTTACTACGCCTCCATCCACTGCGGCGCAACAAAGTTTTTTCAAAGCATAGGATTGGGAGCGCTCCTGACCACTCTGGGTTTGGCGCTGTCCAGTTGAAATTGATTTTTGCTCAAATAAACCCTTAAAACGTTTAGTAAGTTCCAGTTTGTCTTTTACCACCTGCAAAATGGTACACCCACGACAAAACAGCATTCTCTCACTCTATAACTCAGCGATCCCACTCCTTGGTACTTGCCCAAGGGAGCTGAGAGCTCATATCCGCACAAAAACCTGCACACAAATGTTTATAGGAGCTTTGCTCATAATTGTTGAAATTTAAAAGCAACCAAGAGATCTCTCAGTAGGTAAATAATACATTTTAAAAAGAAAAGAAAAATTCAAGCTATATAATTTGTTTCTGATTAGTAAAGAAATACAAACTTGTGGAAAACTTACAAAATTCTGGAAAGTAATGAAAGAAAAGCAAGTTCATCACTAAGAAACTACAGCTACCATTTTAAACATTTTGCTGTATCTTTTTTTTGTTTTGTTCTCTGAATGTGTATATGTGTGTTTCTAGTTAAAATGATACTAAATACACAGTTTTGGATTTGGGAGTCTTCCTGCCCACCCCCCACTCCCCCACCCCCCAATCTTATATTATGAGCATTTTCCCACAATCCTGTGGTGTTGCTCCCTGGTTTATAACCTCCTGTGGCTCCTGCTTGCACCCAGAATAAATGTCCTTATCACAGCTGATAAGATCTACAAGATCTGGCTCCTGTTTCCCTCTCTGTCCTTTAAGTAGCTCATTCAGCTCCAGAGACAAAGCTTCCCTTCAGTTGTTTTGGGCATTCTGAGCTCTTTCCCACCTTAGAACATTTATATCTGCCTTTCCTGCTGTCTAGAATGTTCTATCCTTGATCATTACATTCTTTCTAGTTAACTCCACATCACCTCCTCTTAGAGTCCTTCCCTGAACACCCTCACTACACTCGCGGTGTCTCCCTCCGCTCACCTTGCATTTGCACCTTCGACAGCAACTTATTTATTTGCTTATGCATTAATTATCCTCCATCTGCCCTTTCTGTGAGGAAAACAGGGGGAAAAAAAAGCAAAGGCCTTTTAGTGGTTTACAGCTGATTTTAATGCTCATGGACAATACCTGACAGAGAGGCTCAGTGAATATTGTTGAGTAAATAAATGACTCATTGAAATTTCTTGAAAAACATACTTTAGCATCTTGACAGATCGATCCAAGACCTGTTGTTTGTTCCCAAGAGTTAATGGCATTTAACATGAAGCCTAACTGCTGCCCACTGGTGAAAGAGTGATTGAATTCAAGGACTTCTGTGAGTGATTAATCTGAAATCTCAATGAGGAGCCGAAAAATCCTCTGGTTCTACAGGATCCTCTGTAACAATGTCAAACGTCTTAAAAGGCCTTCATTGAAAATTCTTTTCTTTTTCTTTCTGGGACCGTATTACCCCGGTTTGCACTGGAGTTCACTCCAACACAGAAAGGTCACATTACTGAAACAGTCCCGGCGAAGTCTAATTCCTCCTGAGCACTTCCTTGAGCCTCAAAGATGGTCCTTCCCTAAGGATGCTTACTGACAGCTCTCAGGCCACCCGCCACAGGGTGGGCCGCATGCCAGGCTGGGCAGCACTTTTCCCATTAGAAACCAGGTCTGGATCCAGACAGACCTGGCTTTCCTCAGACTCCTGTGGGCAGGTTGGGAGGTGGTCAGAAAGATCCTGCTTATTTACCAACAAGAAAACTGAGACTCGGAGAACTGAGCTGCCCAAGGAGATAAGAATGTCTGTCCAAAGGCTGTAGTCGCCTCCCGGAATCTCAGGTGCTCTAGCTGCAGCACTGAGCCAATAGCCTGAGTACTGGAAACCTGCTACTGCATTGTCCCTGGGTGCCCGGAACCTAAGGGTTCTGTGTGGCATCAGCTTCCAAGAACCCTAAGAGATGAATTTAATGTATGTATATACATATTATTTATAGGTAAAATAAAAATGTTTAAGCTCAGAAAATCAAACAACTTTCCAGGTTTGCCCAACTTTCCAAGTTTGCCCAAGTTTGCTCAGAAAATCAAACAACTTTCCAAGTTTGTCAGGAAGAGGCAGAGGTGGAATTTCATCTTAGGCTTGTTTAATGCCAGACCCATGTTCCAAACCACTTTGCTATTTGCCCTCGGTTCCTTTTGTATTTACTAGAGGAGGATTTCGCTCTAAAGGAGAGAGGCACTCCTAACCTGCCGGGACATAAGAACAAAGAGAGGGCTGGTATAATTGAGCTGTACAGGCAACAACTCCTTTCTGAGCAGGAAGCAGGTTCCAACCAGAAGAACACAGAGGCAGACAAATGCGAAATGAGATGCTACGAGAGCTGTTGAACTTCTGTGTGCTCTTTCCTGATGGAGCACAGTGAAAGAAAAAGGAAGAAATGGAGCTGTGAAAAGACATGAGCCCATATGAGCTGGTCTTCTTTTTCTTTGTTCGCCTCATTAGCACACAGGTGCTCTAAAAAAGCATCAGAAGTAGGTGAGATGGAGGAAATGGGTTTTTGCGTGAGATTAATTCCCTTCGGGGTGGAGAATGCTGTGCCTCTCAAAGAGCCACACGGCACGGTGCAATGACGTAGGGGCGCGCAGAGGAGGGACTTGCACAAGGCCGTTTTGAAATACTGTTTGTTTTTACTGACATTTTCAGCTTTGACCTCTGTCAGCCAATCTTAGCAAAGGGAAACTGTCACTCTGGGTGGCAGCCCTTCTCGGGTGGCAGCCCAGTCGGGGCTCTGCTTGTCTAGCCTTCAAAAGAAAAACAAAACCTCCCAATCAGCCCCTTGGAGGCGAGGCTGATGAGGGAGAGAGAGAGAGACTTCAGCAGAGAGCAGGACAGGCCAACTGCCTGTCAGTGCTCAGCCAGGTGGCTTCTGTCACTCCCAGGTTAAAAATAAAGTCTGAGGCATGGATGTGGCTTGGTGCTCAATGGCAGTTTCAGTCTTACTAAAATTAATTCTACTTTGCTACGTGGCACAGAGATTTGCAAATGCAATAGAAACCAATTCAGGCAAAGACTTTTGATTAAAAGCCTTTGTGCCACAGTCAGTGTAACTTTATGGACAGTACATGCATGTGTTGTGTGTGTGTCTATAGGTGTGTGTGCAAGTAGAAGTGTGTGGTTGTGTGTGTTCTGCTCAGCCAAGAGAGGAAAAAATAGGTAAACTCATCCTTTAGCCTTCCTAGACTTCAAGGCTTAAACGGGGCCTGACGCACAGTAGGTGCCTGCCACGGGCTGCCAACTGAATGCAGGAATTCTGTGCAATGTGAAAATTCCACAGCATGTATTTATCTTAAGCTCACGGAGAAAGTCCCCTTCCTAATCCCGTAGCATCCAGCCAGCTGCAATGAATTGCAAAGATGGTGTCAAAACTTGGTTTCAGGCAACTGTTCCATGAATGTTCAGGGACAGGAATGTTCAGTTCTTTCTCCCTGGGTCCCTTGTACCTTAAAAGGGACCTAGCCTTCAGGGCCATGTATCCTTCAAGCCCTGATAATGCATGATGACTTTCAAATGGGCTGTCTCAACACTAATGCAAACCAAAATTATTACCCCAAAGGGTATTAATATACCAATGGCAATATTAGTGGCTAACACATACTATGCACTTACTGTATGTGCTGGGCACTACTCTAAGCACTTTACAAGTAATAATTCGCTTTACCCTTAAATCAACCCTACAAAGTGGGTAATCTTATTATCTTCACTTTGCAGATACAGAAACTGAGGCACGGAGAAGGTAAGAAGCATGCTCATGTTTCAAGAGCTAGTAATGATGGAGCCAGGATTCACACCCAGACAGCCTGGCACCAAGAGTCCATAGGCTTATCCACTAGGCTACTACTCCTAACCCCGAATTAAGTAATTTTTTATGACCTCTCAACATCCCCAATATATAGCTGCTAATATTTGCAAAGTTAGAGTAAGGCTGAGGTGTGAGTAGCCATGGAACACAGACCGCTGGAGAGCACCGGCGTCTATGGTCGTGGTAACGGCCGTGCAGCAACCGCCCGTGGACACACAGGACTCCCGAGATGTCTGTACAGTTCTCCCAAGACATAGAGGCCCCTGTGATTAGGGATCTGCTGTGACTCAAGAGGCTAATAGCAACTGACTGTTGTATCTTTCAAACAAGCCTTTCCAACTGGAAATAAATCAAGAACTGTTTCCGTTGAGCCCTCTGGTCTCAATAAATCTCCTGTATAACGTAATAAATAAACTGTCCAAGTTCCTCCCTCTGAGAGACCCAAAGGGCAACATCAACCGTTTGAGGACACTTTTAGATTCAGGGTGGAGCTTCTCTGGAAAGAGAAATGCCACCCGGCACATTAGGGTTGCCAGGAAGACAGAGGGGCCACAGGTCCGGTACTGGGGGAGCTCTCCACCCACATGGGAAGAGGTCTATCAGTGTGACCCGTTTGGGAGATTTTTTTAAAGGAGCTCTCCAAGAGAGTGTCTTCTTGTCTAACCTACTCTGGCACCAAACTCACACAAAGGCTGGTACAGGTGTTCAGGGTCCTATCCTCTGTGCTCTGCTGCCAATTGCGGCAGGTTCTGGGTAAATGCATTCTTGCTTGGACAAACCATTGCTGACCCAAGATACCATGAATTCTCACTTTACTTTCCACCAAGGCTCAGGTCAAGGAAAACAGATCTTTCTGGTAAAATCACTCCAACACGTTTCAAGACTTAGCCCTCATTGCAGGGCCTGAGATGAACAGCTTCTTGGTTTGCCCTAGCCATTTCCTG